CATAAAACATAATTTGCACTCATCGAGCAGATTTGAATAATGCCTTTGAATAGATTTATGGCCCCGAAGATTGATGACAGAACATAAACGCATTAAAACGGATTGACAATTTGTGGTAACAATGAAGGCAGGCGATTGGGAATGGAATGGGTAATGCATATCCTAACAGATTCCCCATATCGACTAGACTAATTTAGCCATTAGCCGCCCGATCAGCGATCATAGATCGCATATCGCATATCGCCTGTGGATTATGGAAAACCGAACAAAATGATAATTATCAATTAGGCATTCCATATTTATAACCAAACCACCTGCGATCGATCGATCGCTTGCTCGCTCGCTCGCTCGCTGTGCTGGAAATTTATGTAACATTTTATTGATGATGACAGTAATAGAAATCGATTCGAGGGACAAATCTTTGATCTTTTGATCTCAATCTTCTTCGGACCTCAACTCTCTGTGGCCGGCTACCGTCCGTCGCGGCGTTTTATTTAGTAGGTGTGATTATCTTTATGCAAAAGATCTGGCCGCCGCCCATTGATATGCAGATCTGTAGATCTCCGAGAAAGATACGGAGATAGTATCTTGTTTTGTTTCATTTTATTTCATTTCTTTCTTTTCCTTTTTTTATATATTTTCAGCGCTTTGTAATTGGTAATCAATTTGTTTTTGGGGGGGTGGCCCGCATCGAAGCCCATTTGCCGCATAATATATCTAGTATAGCTAATTTTTATTTAATACCCTTAGGTATTTTAATGTGACTTGCATTGGTCCGAATGCGACCTTGGCGGGCTGGGGCTTGCATACCGATAGCGACTCCAATTCCAATTCCGAGTTGAGTTTCTTTTAAGTCGCTAATTTATTTACCCGCTGAGTGGCTTCGCGTCCATTGAGCTGAGTTGAGTTGAGTTGAGTTGGCCCTCCGAGATTGGTCGGCACTTGGGTTGAACGGGCCAGTCGATCGGGTTGAACAATTATGAGCAGCTTGCCAAATAGTTGACGCTGTCACATAGATTAGGTATTATTTTTTTTTCATTTTTTTTTTTAATTTTTGTTGGGCGACATCACGGGCTTTCCGATTATGCAAGCTGCAGGCGGTTTAACAGGTCGCTCATCCAGGTGATTGGCTAGAGGGTTTTCCATTTCGAGGCGAATATTAATCATTACTTTTATTTAGATTTTCATTTAATATATTCTATCCTTTATTGAATAATGGAACTTTTTGTGGTGTTGGGAGCAACTCAAGTCCATCATTCAATTATAATTATTTCTTGTTTTGTCATTGCTTTCGTTCCAATATTTAAAAACACATTCGTGACCCAAATTTTTTTGTTAGCTATTTATCAACTGATATTTTATAAAATGTTAGCTTTGTTATCATTGTTTAAAATTAAAAGAAACATTATGGAAAAACGATTGTTTTTTTTTTGGGTTTTTGTTTTTTTTTTATAAAATGATATCGAAGTTTAAGTAAAATCATTTTAATTAAACAATTTAAATATTATTGCAGTTTTACTTTAAGGCGTTTTTAAACTGTAGCGATTTGAATTTCTAGTATATTTATATATACTTAATCTCCCTCTCCCGACCTTTCCACCAAATAAATTTCCAACGGTTTTACATTTTTTGAATGCCTATGAGAACTCTTATATTTTATTTAAAAAAAAAAAAAATACACAAAAAAAATGAATTGATGCCGAAGGCAAAACTAAATAGGAAAAATCGCAAAGGTTTCCCCGGGCGGAATCCCACTGTAATGGAGCCCAAACCCAAGAGGCGATCCCATCCAGTCCGAATCCCCCGAGGCTGTGAGTGTTGTGTGCTGTGTGTTGTCCAGTGGCAGTGGATGTGGCTTGGCGATGGAGGAGTGCTGGGGATTCTCCTACTTCCTCACAGGCCTCACGGGCAGATAGGTGGCCTGGGCATTGGTGCCGGTGGTCACGGTGCTGATCACCTGTCGCTGGCTTCCCTCGGCATCGTAGGATGCGCCGGATGCATCCACGATCGGGACTCCGCCGGTGCCGACGATATTCAGGCTACCGCTGGCATCGGTCACCACGCCGGAGGCACCATTGTCGCCCAGGCTGCCGATCACGGACGAAACGGGAATCACACCCTCGTTGCTGGTCTCAGAGCTTCCGCCCAGAGCATCATAGTTGGCTGTTATGGTTGCGAAAATTTTTAGTTAATTGGATAAGGAAATAATTCAGGGAATAACAAGTAATTGCTACTTATTACAACATTTTAAAAGAGTCAGAACACTGTGAAACCGACAGAATCGACATGAAAGGCTTCAGTAACCAAAGAAAATGTAATTCAAAGAGTTATTAAAAATGTTTGTGTTTTGTTAGAAGTTTAGATCTATAAATTATAACTTTTCTAACTAAATTTTTCTATTACTGGAGATATTATGCCACTTTGCTTTAGAGCTGCTGCAATTTAGTCGAAACCCTAAACTATTTCTCTAAAGAAAATGTGTTCCAAAACATTTGCCTAGTATCTATAATACACAGAGAAAAAAGAGCTCCAAAATTCTACGTTTTGGGTGGAAAAATAATGTAAAAAGATTTTAAAAAGTAAAACAAAGCATTTTAGTGGCACTGAATTAAATTAAATTGTTTTAGTTTTTAAAATGTTTTTACCCTTGTTTTGCACCTAATGCTTTTTTGTGTACTTAGTTTGAATTCTGGCTAAATCCTTAATATTCCCGCCACTTATCCTTGCAAAGTGTTATGGAAGTACTCACCCTGAATGGTCTGCTGGGCATGGGCCGCCTCCTGGGGAGTCTTGTACTTGACAAAGAAGACCTCCGGCTTGTTGACCACCGGACGCTGTGTGACCACCTCGGCGCTGACATCCAATGCGTTGGACTTCTTGGACAACACATAGATGGCGGTCTTCTCCTCCACGGGAGCCACATTGGCGATGATCTTGGCCTTGCTGGTGGTGGATGTGGGCGCGTTGATGAACACCACGCGGTAGTTCTTTTGCGGCCTGCCCACATTCACATAGCGTACGATCTGCTGCTCATCGTGATCCTCGGGAGCACTATGGATGTAGAAGTGCTTGTTGATCTGGGCGGGCTGGAAGTTGGCCAGGTGGCTGATGTACGACTCCTGTTCGTTGTAGTTGATGGCGGGACCGGGCTGCAGACCGGCCAGGCCAATGGAGTCGCTCACGATGGCGCCGCCGCTGGAAGAGGACTCCTGGTAGTTGGAGCCGGAGCCGCCAGCCTGGTAGCTAATTCCAGAGGAGCCGGAACCGGAGCCGCCAGCCTGGTAGCTAATGCCAGAGGAACCAGAGCCCAGATTCAGCTGACCAAGGGTGGGTGCCGAGCTGAAGTAGTTGCTGCCAGCGGCGGTGGGCTGATAGGAGCTGCCCACCGTGGTCAGGGGAGCACTCAACACCTGGTTGGCCACCAGGCTGCCGCCGTTGAAGCCACCTGCCTGGTAGTTGTAGCCCGCCAGATGGCTGACATCCGGACGAGGAGCGGCCAGAGCGGATCGACCGATCACAGCCAGTACGGCCAAAACCTATTGAGTTTTACGCACACACACACACACTCAAGATTAGTTGGTTGGTCCAGAAACACTTGGAGATTTTGCGACCGCCTTACCACAAACTGCTTCATGCTGGACTTGGACTTGCTAGGATGGATGGATGGATGAGAAGGAGGAGCTACTGTCGCCCTGGAGCTGTTGCACCGGATTGATATGTCCGACACTCACAACTGTCACCTTTTATACCGGCCAAGATTCGCCTTTAATTGAAGTTAATTAAAGTGGTTTGCAATAAATCGTTAAAAAACTATAACATCGAAAGCCCCAAAATCGAAAATCCAACTCAACAACCAACGTTATAACTACAAATCCGGCTAGCACGGCTGGTATTTCTATTTATTACTTCTTTGCCTTTTTTTGTTTTGGTATCGATTGCCGCAAGTGCTAATTGCAGGTGTCAACAAACTGAAAAACAATCAATTTCTGTGTCTGCATGTCATTCGACTGGATGATGAAGCTTGCGAGGAAGAAATCGGACAGTCATATAGGGGTCAAATGATGTCTATAAAGTGCAGAAGTCGGGGTGATGAGTGATCCCGATTAGTGGCAAATCATTGGGAGATTCCCTCAGGGTTTCGGTACACTTTTTGCATGACTATGAAACATTTCCATGTGCCATTATTTCAAAATCTTTATTTAATTTACTTGTTTTTCATCCTTGACATCTCTTCTTACGCGGTATAATCATATCTACTTACTATATAAGCCAAGTTCGCAAATATCGTGGCTTAATACAACCTTAAAAAAATTTGGTTACAATTGATGAAATATATTTAAGTGAAACATCAATTGATTTAAACAAAATTGAATTAATCATTTGCACTTAACATCATTTTAAAGCTGCTTTTCAAATATATTAAAAATACCTAAGGTTTGCTACATTAAAATGTTTAAATTAAATATATTTTTGTAGATTTTTAAAATAGCTATTAAAGTGGTTTTAAAAAACTAGAGATTTTTCTGAGATTGAGTATTTGGTATAATAATAAATATATATTATTAAACTTTTAAAACATTTTTTGAAGTCCTTTTAAAATTCTAGAGATTTCTCAAAAAAGAGTATTTAGAATTCCCACTTTAGCCTCCACTTCACTTGACTTGTTTTTTATTTTATTAAATTTTTGGCCCAATATTTTACGATTGCAAGCGAAGACGCGACTAAGCGGCCTGAAAATTTCAAGCAGCCAAACATTTTAGCGCTTTTAATTGCCATAAACCAGCGATATTCGGCTATATACTCTTGATTGTGGCTTTATATGCGGATCTATGCATGCAACTGATCTCTTCTCGGCAGATATTATGGGTGTTTGGTTCTGGGGAATTTCTATTAGCGCATAGCCATCCCGCAAAAGGGGCTTTCCACCGGTGCACAGTCGCTCCAAGAACTAGAACTGTTCACATGATCCTACTAATTAGTATGTCTTAATTAACTTCCAGATGGCTGGCAGGCATTTCGCGAGACCAATCGACTGCAATCCTGGGACCACAAGCGTGTTCTGGTACTCCTCCAGGCAAAGTATGGCATATTTCCCTATTACCGCGTGAGCGTGGAGAATGGCTACAGCAATCCGCACGATTATGTGATCACACTGGACGAGGGGGAAATCGGACTGCCGGACAAGTACTTTTACGGCAACGATGCCGACGAGGAAGTGGTCCGGGGCTACAAGCTTCTCCTCCGTGATTTCGCCATCAATATGGGTGAGTTTTTTCCTTTCCAAAAAAAAAAAAACCTTTGAATTTGTTACTATGTATATTTAATTTACAATTTTAGGTATCGTTTCCCGGGAGGCTGATCTATTTGCCGATGACATTTTCCACTACGAACGTCGTATTGTGAACCACATTGGGGATGCCAAGGCCAGCGGAGATCGTCAGCTGAATAAACTAATGCGTCTGGCCGATCTGAAGACTAAAGCCCCTTCTGTAAGTGGATTTAGTTCAAGATACTGGATCAAATTCGTAGCAATTTATTTGGAAATTATTATTATTTTAGTTGCCCATCATGGAGTCGCTGCAGGCCATTTTTCCAAAAACAAAAATTACTGAAGACACCGAGGTTTTGGTACGCGATGTAGAGGTTATGAATGCTCTATCTGTTTTACTTTCGACCTCGGATAAAAAGTAAGTTAAATACTATTTATTTTAAAGTTTTACCGATTTGTTTTTAACAAATATAAAAGAGTAATTGGCTTTTTGAAGTCTTTTTAAATAAATTAGCCTGGGTTTTTATGTAAATGTTTATACATGTGCAACTGAAACTAAACTGCTTTTTAACTTTAACTAAAGAAAATTAATTTGTATATTCTTTGGATTCAATAATAATTTAATAACATAAATTTCTCATAAACATTTTAAGCCAGTTATATTATTATTTATTATTAATTTTATATTCTGTTCGACTCCAATGTAAAATTACTGGTAAACTTAAAATAAAAGCTATAGCTAAAAGGCCTTAAGCTTATTAACTAATTATTTATTTAGAAAATACAGTAATTTAACAAAATGTGCTTATATGTATGTGCAAGAATTTAAAATATTGTTGAAAGTATTTCTAGAATTTTGTCTATGTTATTGAGATTGAGATTAGATTGCAATTAAATTTATATGTATTTTTAATTTTTTTATTTTTTTAATAAACTAAAAGTAATAGAATATATAATAATTTGTATAATACTTTGCTTAATTAATTAACCAGTTTACATATGGGTATATGGAGTTTATAAAATCAGTTTGATGAGAACATTTTCGAACTTGTTAATTAAATCTTTATATTTGTAGACCAATTAACAACTTTATCATTTGGTCGCTGGCCCGTCAAATGCTGCCGCATTTGTCCAAGGAGTATCGCACCCTGGCGGAGAATTTCGATCATGCCGTGTATGGACGCACCGCCAGCTATCCCAGGTGGCTTATCTGCAGCAAGGTGGTGCGTGATTGGCTGCCCTTCGCTGTGGATGCGCTGCAGCAGCAGCCACCCAGGCAGCAGTTCGAAACGGCGACCTCGAAGAGCAGGGGATTGAACAAGACGCAGGGCAACGAGGAGCTGCTCCGGCTGATGTTCTACAGTCTGCGGAATCAGCTGAAGGACTCCCTGGATCAGGCCAAATGGCTGGAGCCGGCGGCCAGGCAGTTCATCCAGAAGAAACTCAACGAGATGCGGCTGCAGTTCGGCATACCCGATGAGGTCCTGGAGCAGCCCAACTATCTCAAGCAATACTACACCGAACTGATGCTGAACAATCTGTATTTCGTGGAGCATCTGGAGTCGATTTGGACATTCCGTCGCACGCGGATGGAGAAAAAGCTGGGCACTCTGAACATGCTGGATGTGTAAGTCTTGCGCAACGAGCCACCTGCTGATCCAAAAACTTTCTAACACTTTCTCTTCGATCCATCCATCCATCCATCCCGCTCTGTTTGGCAGCATTGTTTCCGAGATGTACACAAGGGACAATCCAGAGGCCATCGCCTACTCCAATAAACTGAATATGCTGCTCGTTTCAAGAGTGTTGATCAGTTCGAATTACTATGACTACCGGTATCCTGTGTACGTATGACAAAATATAAAGTTGTTTAATCTTAAATATGTACTAACGGTTTCTTATCTAAATTGAATAAATTTATATTTTATATAGCCCTATATATATATATACTTACTAAGAGGCAGACCTACGCGAAATTTAAAGCAATGATTTATATTTGAAAAGAAAATCATCGAAAATATAGATTGTCTGATGAGAATCGAAATTAATAAAAGTTTCTTATTGACTTTAAAACACTAATTTAAGCTTAAGATTAAAAATACCCTTCCAATGGACAAACTTTATAAAGGTTTGCATAGGTATAAATAAAAAATCAAATAAAAGCAATTTCATTTGAAGGGTTTAGCTTGGTTTAATTTGAGCACATCCCTTTTTTTTATAAAGGAGTAAAAGGAGCTAAGCCACTTTTAGAGGTAGTTTAATTTTATATGGTATTTATTGATAAAACAAACCCAAAGCTATATCTTTCTAATGATTGTTTCTCCTTTTCCATTTCGTGCAGAGCTGTGAACTTTGCTCGCATAGGCACCGATATATTGGAGGCCCTGATCGACAACTTCTCCACATTCCTGCTGCAGTTCAACACGCAGAGTTCGGACATTAGCGATGCCGTACCGGAGATCCGGTATGCCCAGCCGGATGTGAATTGCCTGGCGGCGGGACAGCCGCCTCGATTGGTCCACGAACTGAACGATCTGTCGAGCAGTGCGCTGAAGAGCTTCCATGTGACACTGAGTGCAGCCCGAACGGCGGCCAGGGCGTTGAGCAGCTTTGTGGGTGCCATCGATGCGGGCAGTGCCATCCAGGGATCGGGAATCGATCAGGTCAACACCTACGAGGCCCTGGGACTGACCAGGCGTCTGAGGGTGCCGGGCCTGAGGTCCTTCAACGAGAACGAGCTGTTTACGCTGGCCTACATGCAGCAGCACTGCAGCACCACCATTGCGGACAAGGACTATGCCAGGATCAAGCCGCATGTGGAGAGCCAGCTGGCCGAGAGTTATCTGTAAGCGGTTGCGTCTGTCATTCGGCGATGCCTCAGCACTCATGTTCCATTATTATTTCAGCTTCAATGCCACCTGGCAGCACATCCAGTTCCTGCCCCGCTCCACAAACTGTGCCGCCGCGGAGGCGAGTTGCTCCAACCTACTCTGAGATGCGTTTGGCCATCCACCAGGACCACCAACGCCGCCAGAGGCCTGTGGATGAATAGAAGAATGGACCAACCTATTTATTGTACTTTTTTTTTACTCCCACACATTGCCAGAGATACAGAGATACAGACATACAGAGACACACAGAATACAGACAGCTCCCCTCACACATCGCCTTAGTTGTAGTCTAGCGATTAAGTCTAGCACGTAGTTTAACCATGAAGGATCTGACTTAACTTTGACTAGCCACTGTTGACATCACGCCACACACACTCACACACGCAGTCTGCTCCAACTTGACACGAAGTAACCAAGTTAGGCAGCAAGTCGGCTTAAGTACGAACCCTACGCCTAGTTTAGTCTAGTTCGGTAGTAACCTAAACTTAGTTAGTTGCTAAGCGCCGTCGTCCACCCTGTATAAATTGATGAATTTGATTTTTGGAGAACAATTAAATGAGAGTAACTTTTCACAGAACTCGAAAAGCAAATAAATGTGGTTTTGTGTAAAGTCGGTTTGCTAAGAGGTACAATTAAGGCACATGTGTCTAGCTGTTGAACCACCAAACAAGTTAAAACCTTTCTTATTTATATTTTGTTGACGGGAAGGTTTATAAAGCACAATTATTTTAAATGTCTTTTATTTAACTAATTTAGCTTAAGGCTGGTTTGAGCCAAGTTAAACTTTTTGAACAAAGAAAAATAATCCCGTTCTAGCAGATGATTTTAATTTTTTTATTGTTTATTATAAAATCTTTATTTAAGAAAATGTGAAGAATTTTTTTTTATTATATTCCCTTTGCTTTTAAATGGTAGATTTAACAACAATAACGATGAAAATGTAATATAAATGTTTGCCTACTTTTGGGATGCTCAGAAATAAATATTAATAAATACTTGCTGGTTTTACATACAATAATTTTTTATTAACTATTTTTTCTATACAATTTTGTAGATCCTTCAATTTGTACTACACTTGCAATTTTTGTAAAAAGAGGATTAGTAAATCGTAAAAATAATCAGTTTTGTAAAATCTGATAAATTGCATCTATTAAGTTAATTTGTTGCCTACAATGTCCTTGATATAATTTGCCACGCAGCGATGGAATTCGGCATCCAAGTTATCTATTAGCTGGGAGCTGAGCTTACTGGCCACTCTGTAAAAATAAATGCATATTAGCGAGGTAGGCAGTGTAAATACAGTTCAATGTGCAGCTGCGGTCGAAATAATATTAGTGGGAAAATGTACAAAATCGAAACAAACTATTCTTTAGGGTATAAGAAAATTTTTCATTTAATCTATCATAATGCTCCATAACCAATAAACAAAGTGAGACTTAAAAACCCTTTGATATTGTTTTAGCTTTTCAAGAAAATTGAAAACTTATAATAATTCCTTAAAATAAACTTTTCAATAGACGGTAGCAAATGATTTTTAATAATTTAAAGAAAAACCCATATTTTTTCCTTCATCTACACTTTGTTTTGTAATAAAAACTTATTTAATGTCTATTATTAGCTATTTTGTTATTAAAATTAATTAAAAATATATTTTAGATCAATATTTTTTAAAAATATTTAAAAGTATTATACCTATGAAAAGTGTGGAATTTTATATTAAAACCATTGAGGTTATAATATAAATTTCCATAGTTGCATCTAAACTAAATATGATTGATATTTCCATAAGCTAAAAAACTACTATTATTTTGACCGCATATGAACAGAAGAATAAAACATCAACATAAATATATTGGATTTAAAATAATAAAGATTATGGGTGAATAATTATATAAAAACTACTACTACAGAAAGAACAGCATTCTGATTAAGCTCTATTTAGGCATGATTTTATGTTCAGATTTAACTGTGTTCAGCCAATACCTATTGGTATATTCTTACTTGGCATATATTTTCCAGGGCGCAGAGCTCTGTGAGTTGTTGTAAAAGCAGCTTCGCCGGCAGTTGGCCTGGAAGCGGTCTCGATCTTGAAGGAGCTGCTTCAAGGGATCAGTGGGTCTGGGCGAAGGTGGATTATTGGAGGGGATTTCTCGGATTGAAGCCTGCTCCTTTGGGGTATCTGCACCACAGCCCCACGAGCTCTTCGGCTCGATTAATCGGGCCTGTTCCTGGCGTCGCTGCTCCCGGCAGCTGGTCACCTGCTGCTTGTACCGCTCCAGCTCCTCCCGCTCCCGCATCGCCTGCTCCTGGCGCTCATTCAGCGGATGCCGATCGCCGGGAGGACCCTGCCCTCGCAGCTGTGCCTCCATATTGTCTAGTACTCGCTTCTCGTCCTTCAGCTCCTCCTCCAGGGTGCGTGAGGGGAAGACCTCGCCTTCGGGACTCCGCAGGACCTTCACCTCCTTGAAACGCTCGTCGCCGGGTCGCAATGTCTGATGCAGCTTCTGGCGCTCTTTCAGGTACCGTTGTCCTTCCCAAAACTTCTCCGCATAGGGGGAGTCGTTCGGGCTAAGGGGTCTACAAAAAGTTGAACAATAAATCAGATAGGTCCCTTGAAAATGAGTTGATTACATTCTTAGTTGAAAATTTGTGTTGTCTTAACGTTTTAAGGACTTTATACAAATTTCTTTATTTTCAAAAAATATATTTAAGTAATTACTCAATCGCTTTTAGCTAAGTTAAAGTTTTTTTTTACAGGAAAGCAAGCAAAAGGGCTTTCAAAAAGTGAACAAAAATTTAAAAACTTCACTGAAAATTTGTTATGATTTAATAAAAAATTCGTTATTTTGAATATTCTGAAATCTTTTGAAAGAATTACTTTTGTAATACGTTAAAGTATAGTTTTACAGGAAAGCAATTGCTTTTTTCGATTCCTGTCTTTTAAAAAAAAAATTTTGCGAGATTAACTTTTTTATTAAACCTTAAAATTTATTTTAAAGAAAATCAATTGCTTTTATGTAAGTCAAAGTATAGTTTTGCTGAAAAGCAATTGCCTATTTTCGATACTTGTCTTTTAAGAAAAACTTTAGTAACTTCAACATAGTCTTTGACTTTTGTATATGGTTTAATAATTTTTAGTCCAATTTAGTTGTTTACTTATATTAAGGTTGTATTTAAATTTAGAGAAAAAATGCCGTTTAGAACCTGTGCATTACGATAGCATATATTAACATGATTACGTTTATCCATTTTAATATACGAGTAAATAATAATTTTTTTTTGTTGTTTATGACTTAAACGATTTCAATAGACATGTTGAAGATTATTGGAAAAGGCTCTAAATAACACGCGTATCCAAGCTATACTTGTATGCGCCGTATAGATAAAGTTGAGTTATTGCATCAGCCTGGGGTTTTTAATCGGGAATGGGGTGGCAGGGGAGCCGTTGGCATTAGCTTTCATATGGGCCGCCGTCACGCAAGTTTTCTTATCCCTCCGGGAACTGCACACGACGCCCTTGCACGAAGTCCCTAGCCCCAAGCCTCCCAGCCACCCACTCCATTTCCTTTCCGGCAGTGATAGTGGAAAGCAGAAGCCTCAAGGCCAATGCCAAAAATAGGAAAATTGAACTAAATCGCAGTGGCACAAGTTCAGTTTTAAATACCCTATCAATGGATGCGGACATTTAAATCATTGGCAATTAAGTAAGATTTCCCAAAAAGCTGATTACAGAGTTGCATTTTTAAGCCTTTCATGTCCGGGGATTAAAGAAAAATACAAAGAAAATGTTGCCTGTAGGCAACAGTGGGCATGAAATAGTTAATTTAGTAATATCTGAAATACAAACCTACCAAATAGGAATACAATAAAAACATTTTACAAGGCATTTATTTAATATGTTTTGATATACGTTAGCATTAAATTCTTTAGTAAGTTTAAAACTATTTAAGTCCTCTTAAGTGAAGTGAACATTTAATAGAAAATAAATATTCTTTATATCGAAAGTTGAGTTAGAAATTCTACTTACTTATGATAAATTACAAAAACCAAAGATTCCAAGGCAAATTTATAAAAATAAATATCAAAAAGTATATTTTAAAAGCCATGTTATAATCAAAGTAACCGATTGGTCGGTTAGAGTACGATTACGCTATTCATTCACTCATTTGTTCCTTTATTCATAGCCTGGGTCACTGGGGTTAAGGTTGTGACTCCACGGCCACCTACTCCCCCTCCCCATATATATATTTTTGTTTTTTTTTGAAACCTCCCTTCCAATCGCAGTGATAGCGCACGTAAATAATATGACACAATCAAACTTGGAAATGGAGAAGCCAAAAACCGTAGAAGAATTAATTAATAAACACCGCCCGATGAGGCAACCCTCTGGCAGAAAGAGATGGCGAATGCGGTACTGGAGTGCGAGCGAGAGGGGGCGAGGCGTTCGCTAAATGGCAAAGCCAAATTTATTGATCAAACAAATAAAGCGCATCACTACAACCAACTCGGCTAGAAAAATCCAGAGTGGAGAAAACAAAGGGGTTGGGGTTGGGATTTATAAGTGATATTGAGAGGCCAAAAAGGTTAAGGTGGCAGAGCGCCCCCATCACCTTAGCCCACCGCTATTTATGGGCCCACCAAAATCGGACGATTGCCGGAGTTTGGTTAGGTAAATATATATATATATATGGCCAACACTATATGCACAAACTATGTATGTATATACATACGACCATATAACGCAAATTCCAACTGCAAACAGTTGTCGATTAGCGCCCGGCGATCGTAGTATTTGATTACGTGCGTTCTTCATATCAGCAAAGACCGAAATGCAAAAAATCAAAAAATACAATAACTGCCAAATTTGCACACCAAATAACAAAAAAGTGCGAGACATGAGACATTAGCGGAGCCACTAATGACCCAAAAACCAGAACCATATAAAGCCAGTAATCCAAATATCAGAGGGAGTGCTCGGCGAAGCGACCCTGAACTTGCCATTAGTCACCGACTTTGACTATCTTAACAGTTAGATACAAATAAGCCTCTACGGCAGATAAAACTTGAGCGGGTAAATAACATATTAAATACAAATTTAATGTGCCATTTAAAGTACGATTTTATTCACATCATTAAAATGCAACAGCGTATAGTTCTTATAGCAAAAGTTATTATAATTATATTGTAGTTAATGTTCGCATCTAGCTCTGACACTTTAAATACAAATAGTTGGGCGAAACTGCTAATTATATGTGGTGGTTTCCTAGTCTTGATAAAGTTATAAAACATGTTCATAGCCCATGATAACATATTGCCCACATAACATTGTAGCTTATTATATAATAATAATGCATAGTAATTTGAATAGTATTAACTAATTTTACATACAGTTTTTTTAATTTGTAAGTATTAACCGCTGGGAGAATTCTTTTTCATTTTTCAATCATATAATAGTGTCCATAAAAAGTGTGGCCAATTTTAAGTTTATGACGTTTTTTTGAATGCCACAAAATTGATAAGTGGGAGAATAACAAAATAAACTGATCGAAAGACAGCCAGCCTAGAAAATGAATAAGAAGTATTTTTAACGTTCGTTTATTAATATATGAAACATTGAACAATTCCTTAATTTAATTTTATTTTCCAATTTTATAAAACTTTGTAATATTTATGCATAGAAAAAAAATAGTTTTATTTTTACAGTAATTTTAAAAAAATAAGACATTTACAAAAATTTTTACAAATTTTTACAGTAATTTTAAAAAAATAAGACATTTACAAAAAAATTTATCAATTATGTTATGTTTCAGTGTTGTTTTTTTATTGTCTTATTTTAGAAAAAAAAATCTAGTCAAAATTTATGTAATGTAATGTTATGTAATGTAATGTAACATTAAAAGTCACATTTTAGAATAATTTTTTAACTTTGTTGAGACTAAAAACAATTTCTGGCCAATTCTTTTATTTGGTGTTTTGCGGTTGGTTAATAAACAAATTAAATAAAAGAAAAACAAATTCTAAAATTGAGAAAATAAAAAAAGTACTCATCCGCCACGTTGGTTGAAATTTAATTGAAAGTCACCAAAACTCATATTTAAATAGTTCACTTAGGCATATTTTGTTGCTTCTAGGGTATTCAAACTGTCGAATAAACTCTAACATGCAGCCAAAAGAAAAGGGTCAAAACGAGAGAGTGAGAAAAAGAGAGGGTTTTAGCACCAACAACAAAGGAAAACAAAAACCAAAACAACCAGTGGCCCTTGTTGTTGTTGCTCCTGTTATAGTTGTTCTCGCTATTTTTGTTGTTGTTGTTGTTATTGCTCTAGACGCCGGTTAATCTGAATGAGTATGAGTAACAGTAACTCCACGCAAGTAGAGCAGCGGCAGCGACGCCGGCAGCGACGATGGCGTCAGCGGAGGAGCATTGCCAGCTGACTCCCACTCTCCCACTCTCGCTTACTCTCCCTGTCTCCCCCCAATTCTCTCAGCTGACGGCCGGCGATGACATCATTTTGGTGTTGCCGTCGCCTCTGCCGCGGCGCAGTCGCATCGCCCCAACGTCGCTGCTTCGCCAACAGCGGTGTTAAAAAAAATAGCACTGCAAATCACAGTCACTAAGGATTACTGTTTCCTTACAATTCAGTAAATGAATTATTTAAATGCTCTTACAAACCATTTTTTAATATAACAAGCATCTTATGCTAAAAAAAATAGTCGTAATAATAATAATAATAATCGAACAAATATTCAAATTGCTATAAAAAATAATAAGAATGCCGCATCAATTTCAAATTAAAAAATCAATTAATACTTTAATATTTATATTCGATTTTAGGCCCTCATATAAGACTTAATATTAAATTTTTTATTTTGCCATATCTATAATTTGCAATATACTTTTATACTAAAAAAAAGGCACTTTAATGAAAACTTAGAATTTATAAAGTAAAAGCTTAATTAGAGATTAATAAATTATATTTAAAATTTATATATAAACCATAAAAACATTTTTTGAAACAACCATAAATTTATGCCACTATTTGTACCTCAGTTGTATGCGGCACTTACAGCATCTGGAGAAACATTATTTGATTATTATTTTTAGCTATTGCTGCCACCAGGGTAGCCAAGCGAAACCGTAACCATCGTACCGTTTTAACCGGAATAACTGAATCATTTTTATAACCGTAACCGAAAAAGGCATCTTAAAAAAGTAAACACCATTGATATTGATTTTAAATAACACTTTTGCACTTCTACAAGCAAGCCTATTTAAATTTTGTTCATTTCATTTGATTTATAATTTCGTTTTGATCCTAAGCATTTAATATTTTAAATATTTCAAGTATTTTTTCCGCATTAAAAACCCACCTTTTAAATAACACTAGTTCTTCTAATTTTCCGTACAAAATGTAGAAAACCAAAACAAAAGATCTTTAGATTTCAAATACTCACAGCATCTGGAGCAGCATGAGCATAGTGTCCCGGGAGGGATCTCCGGTGGCGCTGGCCACAAAGTCCACAATGCCCTTGTCGTGCTGCTCGGCCCGCTGGAGAAGCTGCAGCAGTGCATCCCGCTTCGCCGACGGCAGACGCTGCGGATTCTGGACGAGCGGTACGACATGGGGCAGGTGATCCTCCTCCGATCGAGTCCTCCGATTCTCTGCGCCACCGATCCTCGGGTATGTTTGGGACTTGGTGGTGCTGGCTGCCCGGGCGCTGAGAATTGGCGAACCGGCTGGAACTGGCGGATGTTGCGCCATCTGGCGGCGCGCCCCCTTTGCGACCTTGGTCTGGCCACGCCTCTTCGGGTGGGCGGCAGGCGGTGGTGGTGGGGGTGTTTGAAAATCGCTGGCTCGTTCGATACGAGCGAGTAGTAGCTCCAGCTGCTCGTGGGCCTCTGCCATGGAATTGTTCTTCACAGGGCGACAAGGTCGTCGAGCTGCTGGCTGGGTGGGCGGAGATGGACCGGAGAGGTGGGGACACAGATACGAGTCGACCTTGGCGCGGACGGAGCGCAGACGCTGCCGGATTTTGGAGCCATTGGGGGGCGGAGCAGGTGATCGAAAAGCGGGCTGTGGCTGCGCAACGGTGTTCTGCCCACCGAAGGCCACTGGGATGGGGCGCTGCCGATTCGTGGTCTTGACCTCCATTCGCCGGCTCTGCTGGGTCACAGATCGCCGCTCCCTTGCGGGCTGATCATCCAGATAGGGATTGGCGCAGCGAAGGGCCTGCAAATATTGCAAATAATTTTATAAATATACCTAACAGCATATTCTACACTTCTAAGTATAGTAAATCATAGGTATCAATACAACCTATTTGAGAACAAATTAAATCCAACTTAGTAAAATAATATTTAAAAAAAGAAAACATTAGTAATGTTAGTATATAAGTCAAATAATCACAGTCATCCATAAATAAAAGTTCAAATGGCTTTTATCTTAAGGACTATGCAGTAAACAGACGAATGACGAATATGGTAAAATATCCTGAAAATGAATTTATTTAAGTTTAAATTACTTTTATCCGTAGGCTCTATTCTTTGCGTATACTAGTCAAATTATTCTTTAGGTTTAGAAGAAAAAAAACTGTGACTTAACTATAAAACTAGATATTTTATAATAAAAATTATTTGAACTAAGTACCAAATGCTAAAGTATGATGAAAAGGTAGTGGTTTTCTTTGGTTCGTGGTTAAATATTCTAAAAACCATTTAAATTAAAATTTGGTTGTTTTATTTTTAAAACTACTTTGGATACAATAATCCCTTAAGTTTTCAAGTTAAGACGAGAAGCTAATAGTGGTTATCTTAACTTGATAGTAAAATATCCTGAAAACGATTTAATTTAAGTACAAATGGCTTTTGAACTATGAAGAACTATGAAGAATGCGGAAGGTAATTCTACACTAATAAAAAAAATGTAGTAACTCCAAATATTTTGTACTCAATTTAAATACTCTTCCTTGATTATTAAAGTTTAAGTATAAAATTTTGAAATCAATAGTCAGATATTTCACTTTTTCTATTCAATTATTTTAACAGTGTATTAATATTTGGCTGTCATACCTTGGTGGACAGTATCTGCGGCGGTGGCTTCATGGGTGGCTCCCGTTGGGACTCCCGATCCCGCCGGATCCGGGTAGTGGTGGCCGTACTGCCGGTGGGCCGCACCACTGCGATGTTTCCGGGGGAGGGGGGTGGAAGCCGGCTCCGCATGGGCGCGTGGGCAGCGGCGGAGGCAGAGGCGGGACTCCTGCACCGCTGGATCCTTGAGGTCATCGCATCGCGGCCAGTGCGCCTGCGCACCAACTGACGCGACGACGGCGCCGGCAGCGATTCCATATCGCCGCTGCCGCTCCTCTGCTGCGCCGCAGCTGCTGCGCTGCTGCTGCGCTGTCTCGCACGCCGACTGCCGGCGTTTCAGTTTCAGTTTCTTGGTCGACGCTCGCCGGTTCGGTTCGATTCGATTCGATCCGATACAACACTCTATATAGCCTATATAGCCTATATAGCCTAGTCCGTACGACAATACGACTCGCGGTGTTTTTTTCGACTTTATTTTCGCGCTCTGCCAACGTTTCGCGTGTTTTATTACCGCCGCTGCCCTTTCTATCCCGGCTTTCAACTAAAATTTGTACGGTACACAACAAAAATAAACAAACAAAAAAATATATACGCAAAAATTGAAGGGGGAAACTTTTTAATATTTGCTGCAATAACTTAAATTGTTTGAAGCCGACTGTTTTTTTTTTTGGTTCCGAAATTGCCTTTTATTGACAGATTTTGCTAAGAGGTTACTTTGTTTCGACGAGGTGCCGTTGGTCAGTTCCCAAATGGGTGTAAACAAATATATATTGTTTCAGAACAAAACTAAATTAATTTTCAAATGTTTAAATTTTATATTTTAGAAGTTAAAGAAGAAGTTGTATTAAAGTATCTCAGATACATCATTCGAATTTCCAAGTATAAAAACTTGCATAGCCAAAACTATCAATAAATCTGAGTTAATTATCACATTTTTTGGAAACAATGTTTTGTTATAGTGACACCGATGATTTTTTTTCTTTTTTTATTATGTTTATGTTTTTCCATACAACAGTTTGTGTTTTGTGTTCCCCCAACACATCAGCTTACTTGAAACTAATGTCAACTGTATTTCTTTATATATTTTTTTGAAGTTCAAATCTCAACAACAAAGCACTCAAGCAACGGCAGCAAAAACAGCAAGCAAAATGGTAAGTGAAATATATTTACCATTTCGGGAAAAAGAGTGGGTAGTGGGAGGCAGGGTGCTCCATATTCAAATCACTTTCCAACTGGTCGCCCAGCTGGCTGTCTGAGACCCATACCCAAACCCAATCCCATGTCGACTCCGCATCCGAATCCGAATCCCAAATCTACGGCGTGGGCGTTTTTCAAACAGGTTGGAGATTGCTCATACGCCGCGTTGGCCACCCATTCACAGTGTCTGCTTGGCTTTTCCGCTTTCTGTTTTCGGCTTGTAAGTTTTCAGTTTTCAGTATTCAATTTTCAGTTTTTTGTTTTGTGCTTTCCATGTGCAAGATTCATGGCACAAGTGTGTGAGCGGAATTTTTAGAGTGTCAACTGCCAACGAAGTCAACTAAAGCCAACTGAAATTGTCATCCATCTGGCTTTTGGCTACCCGAAAAAAGAAAACAAAAAAAAAAAAAAACAAACAAAAATAAAATTCACGCACACTCGAATATGGTTTGCCTTGCCTTATTAGACTTTATGTTAATTACCATATTAAAAATAAAAAAAAAAATAGTTAGCCCGCGAAAAAACGATTTTCAAGAGTTACCAAGTGTTTGCCAAGTGGGCGTTTCAAGTCGTGTTTTGGAAAATATTTGAATTTCGAACAGTGTTTCTCAGTGGGCGAAAGCTAAAGTGCGGATTAAGGGCTTCGTTTTCCATAAACACTCGTAAATATTTTATATATATAAACCGACCTAAGGTTAAGCTAAGCCCAGAATATCTCTGTTCCGATGATATCATGCCTTGCTTTTTACACAAAAATATCATTAATTTACAAAGCGATTTATTCGTTGTCCGCTTAATAAAATGAGCCATATAAATCAGCCACTTTGGCGAGCCTGCTTAACCAGAAGGTTTTGAAGAGTCATCATCGCGATCATCATTATCGTCATTATCACTATAATAATCGTGATCGGGGAGAGAGTGATGGTCTGGTCAGAGTCTCGCCGACTGATAAATGGAATTGGTTTATTCACCCGACTAACAAGGCGGAAATAAATGCTAGTCTTGGGCTTGGCACCTTTTCTAAACCCACCAAGTTGTTAGACTTTTGCTTTGTGATCTTTAAGTAGTTTCTTTATTGCTTGAATGAAAAAGGTTTGCTCTCATGTTCTCAACAACTCGATTATCTAGCTCATGTTTTATAAGAGGTTTCTTATGAACTCCTTGGTTTTTATAATGTGCAACTTATTTTATTTTACCTTAGAATGTATGTTCTTCACTTAACAAACAATTGAATTTCTTCTAAAAATATTTAACTTCCTTGAATGTTGGACCATTGCAGTTAGCTTGGTCTTGTTACGAAATCGTTACTTAAATGGTTTTTAAAAAACATTTTCAAGAGTTTAAAATGAAACCCCCCTGCAATGTCTTTAAAAAATCTCTGATTTGCTTGTCCATTTCTCTTTCATAAATTGAACTTTCTATAAATTTTCCTAGTTCAAGTTATGCTTCTCTTTGTGCATACGTATTTTACGAGATCTTCAAATCAACCTTGGCTGAGTTTTTCGTTTTCCTAAATTTTAAATGTTTTGCCTAGCACAAAAATCTTCGCATAATCCCGTTCATCGATCTTCCGCAAAGTTTTCCTGCAGATTATCTTATTTATATACAATATGTGCCGTATATTACAAAGCCATTTCGGCATTTCACTCACAGTTTAAATGGTTTAATGGCAATTACGTATACGCACTGTGTGCCACACGATGTTTAGAGTGTGCGGGGGATCTTCTGCTCATTGGAGGCGTCTGCTACGAATTATCTGATCCAAGGCAACAGACCCATATATACACGTATACCCCGCGATATATTCCACTGCTTCTGGTGCTGCTGCTCCTCGCTGATTGACAACTCTGATTGATGGCCGCAGAGCAAACAATAACAACAATAGAGAGCACTTGACGCCACCCCCACACCCCCTTGAATGGCCACCCCTTTAAGCCCCTGTAAATTTTCTCTGCCTCCAATGATTCATGCATTCAATATTTTAATTATCGCCTATGAATAAACAAAATACAAAAAAACTGTAAAATTGTTTTCAACTTGTTGCGGTGGCCTCTGATGTATTGCTTTCATTTGTATTCCTTCTTCTTTTTTCTTACTGCAATTGTTAATTTTCTTTTTTTTTTTTTTTGCTTCATCTGCCTGCACTGTTCTTGGTGCTTTCAAGGGGAAAAAAAATTGAAATCGCTTGCAATATTGCGGCAATTAACTGATAAGAAATGCAAATCGTCAACAAAAACGTAATAAACGTGAAAATTGCAATTTGAGTTGAACTGAGTAAGCAAAAGATGGGAGACAGTGGGTTAAATGGCGGGTTAAGTGCGGATGGAATTTTTAGCTAAGTGGGTTAACAGGCAACTTCGATTTGTAATTAGTTCAATTTATAGATTCTGCTGGCGTTAAGCTCCAAGAAAAAGGTCATTGAACTTTGGTCACATATATAAATACGACGATGACTTAATGCCCTCTAAATGTGGAAATCACATTCTTTATACCCTTAATAAACAAAAAAAATAGTAAAAATCTGAATGCAACCCCATCTTTTTTAATTTAAACTCATCTAAGTTTTATATTGATTACAACACTTATATACTAAAACATAAGAATGCAATCACACTAAATCAAAGATTAAAATTTATTTTAATCAATATAAAACTTAGATGTGTTTAAATTAAAAAAGATGGAGATTGTATTTAGATTTGTACTAACATATTTTTTTTTTGAATTAATAAACAGGATATGAAGGATGGGATTTCCAGATTTAAAGGGCATTCAGTCAGCGTCTTATTTATTTAGTGCTTTATTTTCAAATTTTTTTGTTTTATTTTGTTTGTTTGTTTGCTGCCCATTAAGCGCTGAAAATTTTCGCTTAATTTTTGTTGCTTGGCTTTTTGTTTGTATTCTGGTTGTGTGTGGCCTTTTGTTATTATTTTCTTTATCCAAGCAAACTCATTTGAAGTGTGCGAGAGCTACTGCCCTTGGCCCCCTAAGAGTGCCCCCTCTCTTTCTTTCGGCTTCGACCCCTCTCTTTCTCGTGCGTGTTTGTTTAATTCGATTCTAACTCTAGCGATGATCTAAGTGAGACGTCGTCTATTGCAGAAAGAAATGCTTGTTGTTGCTACATCTGGCACAAAACTTTAAACATGAAAAAAAAATGGAAAACCGAAAACCGAAAACCGAAAAGAAAAGCAAACCGAAGGAAATGTGCGTTTAATTTGTGCAAATTAAATTTTTGAAAATTACCGCTCCACAGCCCGCACACCGAAATGTAAATAAAACCGCGAGAAAACATCGAAGAGCCCCCTCCTGCGATTTGCGGATATTTCACTTTATTTGCATTATTTATGGCCGCCTTTTGCTGCATTTTTATGGGCAATTGTTGCGGTTTAATAAGCCATCTAAGGCGGGTGGCAACTTGGCCAACACACCTGTTTTAACTGACTTCTTGGGTGGGTCCCCTTTTTCCCTTTTCTTCCCTTTGTCGAAGGTGCTGCCACCAGGTGATAATAGCCCAAACGTGCTGGGCTAGCTAATGTCATGGCTGGCCATAGTTAAGCATAATGTTGGCCATACTTAAGCTAATAGCTCAACATGACCAGCAAAAGGAAAGGTGTTAGCCCTAAAAAACACCATTGTCGGCAGTTTCAGCAGGTGTTTGTTGCCAAAAAGAAAAGCCATTAAAAACTGCATACTTTTTGGGTAAACTATCTTAGAAATACTTTGGGAAAAAACAAAAACAATAGCTGCACAGCAATTTATTTATTAATGTTATTTGGTTAGGGTAGTTAAAGTTTGCAACGGCCATTAAATGTTACTTAGCATTTTTAAACGAGAATTAATTTTGACAATAGAAAAAAGATATTTAATATATTATTTAAAGCTTAAGCCAAGTAATAAATTAATAATGATTTAACGACCTTAATTAAATATCAAGAACTTTTACCTTTCACAACTTTGGTAGCAGCCCACTTGGCTAACTCATTATTATATAATATGTTAATGTTATTATTGCTGCTGCTTTGTAAATGATTTTACGCTGATGCTCATCGTTTATTGTAGTATATTGCGGTATATATGTGAATCATATATACATATATTTTGATATTCATGTGCCGGGGGTTCTTTGTGCTGGGGCCTTTGGCATTTGGTATTGGGTTACGTAAATTCGCGCCAGCAGCTGTCTCTGCGGTTTTTGAACCCGCTAATGAGTTGGATCTCAGACGAATCTCATTTGCCCGCTCCCAGAAAAACTGTCCAGAATTATGGTGTATTATGAAATATTTGATGTACGTGTTTTCCATTTGAAATGTGCGAAATTAATGGCTTCTATCCCCCGTTTTATTTGCATTATTTTATTTCGCCAGTCGGAGCCGGCGTCCGTTTGTCACAAGTGCAATGAGGTCATCGAGCAGCGCATCATCACGGCGCTGGGAAAGACCTGGCATCCGGAGCACTTCGCCTGCAAGGACTGCCACCGGCCCATCTCGGAGGCCACCTTTAACATCCAGGCCGAGGAGCCAGTCTGCTCCGACTGCTTCGTGAAGAACTACTCGGGCACCTGCTTCGGCTGCAAGCAGCCCATCTTGGAGGTAAGTAATCCCCACACGGATAAATAAATGGAATACAAAAATAACCAGCAATTGAATTCAAAATTTCATATTAATTAATATTAATAATTTATGAAACCATATTTTTGGATTAATGTGAAGAATGTTGGGTAAATTGGATCCCATTTGTTTTAAGTTTAATGTTAATCAAACAACTAAATATATTTCAAAATTATTATAATCATAATATAAATTAAAATGTATTATTATTAAATCAAATTTTTTATCAATGTGGAAAATGTTGAACTTAAAATTGATTCTATTTGTTTTAATGCGGTTTTAATCAAACTAAATATAAAACAAAATGTAAGCTAACTAACATATATTTACAATGATTATTATATTAACAATATTCAAGTATAAGTTCTAATATACTTTATATAAAATTAATAAGAGTTCTTAGAATACCTTTTGATCTTCATTTAATTTATGCATTAAAAATTTAAACTGTATATGAAAATGTTATTTAAATATCTAGATTTATTTAAACAACTTTGAAAGGTTGTTGAAAGTATGCAATAGCATATTAAATGCCTTTTTATTAGTTAAGATTTTTATAGATAGTTTTTTTTTAATATAAATTGTACCTTTAAAGTTACTTGTGATAATAGTTAATTTATTATTAATGTAAATATTTTGAGAAGAAACTGTTGTACTGTTTCTGTGTGTCTTTTGAAGAATATATTATAATTACTTTCGCTTTGAGTTAAATATTTTTATGTTTGCTCCCGGAAATTCATGGTCAACGTGATTAGAAACAGAATCATATTTCTGTGTGTACAGATATCTTTTTTACTCGGTAATTCGCATCGTCTGTTTGCCATAAACTCTGGCGCTTTACGAGCATCGGTGTAATGATACTGTCAACATTTACCTAGATACGCTGCGCCATAAAACCGCTTAGATATCTGTCGTATTTGTTAAGTGACGATGTAATTAAGGAAGCGGTTGCGATTCGTATTTTTAGACGCTTTCCAAATAAAACATGCAAGAAAGTATCCGTATTATTCTATTTATATTTATACTTCGGGCAGCACAAAACGTTTTCGAAGGCATTCAAATTTGCACCTAAGCCATTAAAGCCAAACTGCATTGAAGCACTTTGAAAACCAATTAAAATACAAAATTCACCATTATAATTCTAAAATACTTTTTAATAGCTTCGGGGAATTTCATGCCAATACTGTTGGCGATGCTTAAACCTTTTCATATACCATAACAAACCAGTATTTTCCAGCATATTAAATGAAATGGGTATGAGTAATGATGATGAATAATCGCACAATTTTTCCGAACTTGTTCTAAAATATTTTAAGAAAACCATAAGATTGTCAATTAAAAACAACTCAAATATAATTTTAATGAGCATTTCCTAAAATATATATCGTTAAATAAAACATAAATATTATTTAATTATCATGTGAATCACTTTTTCCATAATTCTATTGCAATTCATTTGGAGAGCATTTATTATTCCACTTTCGATGCTCAAATTTGAAGCAAGGTCGCTCTGAACTAATCGTGGGTGTGTGCGCGATTGATTGGCTTTGATTAAGATTATACATATTTCTATATATGCACATTGTGTGCACTATTGGTTATTGGTTATTGGCTGTAGCTTGGCCTTTGGCTCGGTTTATTCTAAAGCGCAAAAGTATGCAAATGATTAATTTATCTTTAAGTTTTTACAAGTATCATATTTTGAAGGTTTTTTTTATAACAAAATCTGTACACCTATCGATTTATATAAAGAAATCACACAATTGCAATAGTTTTTATAAAGAGATTATATGTTTGGATGCAGAATTTATAAAAATATATTTATAAATAGAGCATTATTGAATTTAAAATTTAAAAGGATAGACTTTAATAGTTTATATGTAATAATTCAGTTTTTCTTTATGATTATTTTCTAATTTGGCAAAATGTAAGATAATAAATAAACGATTTAAATAAAATCTCAACTATTTAAATAGCGCACCATCAAGGCCATGGAGCAGTCGTGGCACGAGGAGTGCTTCGTGTGCAACGGTCCCTGCAAGAAGCCGCTGGTGGGCACCTCCTTCTACGAGCGGGACGGACATCCCTACTGCCGGGTGGACTTCGAGCAGCTCTTCGCCGCCCGCTGCGCCGGATGTGGTCAGCCAATCACGGAGAACGCGATCGTGGCCCTCAACGCCAAGTGGCATCGCGACTGCTTCAAGTGCAAGGTGAGTAGAGTGCTTATCCCCATCAATGACACTGTGCAACATTTTTTTGGGTTTTGGAGTGTATCCGCATTTTGAACTTTTCTAAGTTCTCATCGAAACTTGTTAAAACCTATTTAGGTTTTTCTAAATAATCTCATGATTAAAGCTAAATCTAAAGTTTTATGTTCATTAGCATTATTGTCGGTTAAAGGACATAAATGTGAATTCAACACTTTAAAAAAGAACACCCATTGTAAAATAGGTTCAAAAATGTCGAAAAAATATCAAATGGTATGTAAATACCAAATGATTTTTTTTTTTAATTTTATAATCTAGATTTTTTACTGATTTAATCATTAAATTTGAATCGGCTAAAGATATATATTTTAGATTCGGTTTTACTCCAAATCTTTATGTGAGCCAGTGGTCTTGGGTGTGCACTTTCAGAATCTGTAATCAAAATAATATTTGGCCAAATCTTAAACTGTTTGTTACTTGCAGAAATGCGGCTCTCCCATCACGGCCAGTACCTTCGCTGTGGAGGACAACAAGCCATTGTGCACGGCCTGCTCCGGCTAGAAATCCGGATTTGGACCCGTACCCGTACCATTCACTTCGATATCTATGTATATTATCTATTATTATGGTATTTGTAGTAATCCAAATTGTTGAACCCATCCCCGAGAACACAAGAACAGAGCCGAACGAAAGGAAGCAAGGTCGTGATAATGTGCAAATGGAAATTCCAATCCACTGGAGGAGGGAAAAAGAAATCGTAATATTTGATGGACATGAACACGAAAAGTGCATTCGATGATGGTGGGTGGTGCTGGGTTGATATGCGGGGCAGGGGGGTGTTAATGCTTAAAATAATTATAATTCTCCTTAGTTTATATATATGCCGTCTATCCCTCTCTCACTTTCTCTCTCTCTGACTCACACCCTCACCCCCTGCCCCCCAAAAAGAAAGCCAACCCAACACACCCACAACGATCCTCTCTTGATATTCTCTTGATCGTTTTCGTACTGCACAAACTATCTGATAAATGGTATATAAACAAAAAAATAATCTTGAATCATTGTTGATATCTCTTACAAATAAACAAAATACAATCAAACGATGATCTAATTTTTCTGGGAATTGTTAGTGGTAGTTACTGGGAAGTTAGGCATACGCACATTTTGAAGAATTAAATGTCAAAATACTTACGCAGCAGGGACATGACAACTTTTCAAACAAGAATGAACTAAATATTTGAGTGCAACGACTGTCAAATACCCATTAATTTGTTAATCATTGAAATTTTTCCCCCAATAGATGGCGCCATTTGCAATTCTATTGCTGCGCCATCTGCTGGTATGTTATATTTATTTTTTTTAGCTTTGACGTTAAACTTCATTTCTTTATAAATTCTGAAATACTTATTAGATTCAGAAATGTTTCATTATTGATAGATATTGAATAAATACTTACCGCCTAAATTTATTAATATAAATTAATTATAGACTATTGCAAAGGTGTCATTTGGGAGAATAATTTGAACATTCTATTTTTCGTAGCAAGTCAAAGTCTGTCCAAACAGACTATAATGATCCTGAACATGAATATCGGCCAATCTCTCTTTTTAATTTTTATCTTATTTGTACAGAATTGGTGTAAGTAAAAAAAAGTAAATTAAAAAAAAAAATCCTCCAATTTGACTCATTATAAATTAGCATTTTATTTGCACTAAGAAATACTTAACAATTTAGTTTCTATGGCTTCACACTTTCAGCAATGAGAAGTGGAGCTGGCAATGATCGAGGTAAATACTGATTAAGCAATTTGGGAAATCTATAAAGTGGACAATGTCCCGATCACTGGCGGGATGGGAGCTCACTGCTTATGACTCTGATGGAGCTTCTCGTCCAGGATGCCGCGCAGCGATCGCATCAGTGGATCGAGCACCTGTTGCACCTGGGAACGGGACACCAGGTGCAGGGCATCCAGTAAAGTCCGATGCAGCTGCTCCTCCTTCGACCACTGACCCATTGGACCCAATGTGGGCAGCGTGCTCAGCGAACTGGTGGTGCCACCATCGACGACCTTTTGCATCTGGGTCTGCACCTCGCCTTGTGTTTCTGGATCGAAAGGCAGCTCCCCCAGTGGGCCAGTTGGACCGGAAGCCACAGCTGGAGTGGCGGTCACATTTGGATGGGTATTGGTATTGGTATTGGTATGGGAATTGGTGTTGATTCTGGGACGACGCATCCTTTGGGGGCGTTTCTCCGCCTGCTGACGTTCCTTGGGCACCAGCCGCGGTTCATAGAGCTTGAGATCGTTGAGGCACATCTTGAGATCGTAGCGCTCGTGGGAGCGCAGCTTCTCCTGTCTGGGCTGGGTGGGTATCCTCGGGGGCACGGACTTCAGGGACTTCTTCTTGCGATGATACGAGTGGACACCGGTGTCGTGCTGAATCTGACTCTGACCCTGACCCTGAACCTGACTTTGATGACCCTGCTGCTTGTGCAATCGCCTCAATGTCTCCCTGGCCAGCTTGAGGCGCTCCTCCTGCATGTCCTCGATGAAGCTGAGGAACCGGGTGCATCGCTCCTGCAGACACTCCACCACCGGATCCTGACGATCCAGCACGCCCTTGTCCAGGCAGCAGTTGGTCATCGTGTAGATCATCTCGATGAGGGCGCTCAGTTTTTGGGGCACCTTCTCGAGCAGAAAGTAGCGCAGTTGGCGCTGATACGTGTGCAGCGACTGCTGCATCAGTCCGTAGACGCAGACCACCCGCTGGCAGGCCTCGTTGGAGGTGGCGCTACTGAAGCTGGCCACCGCGGTGAGGCGCACATCGTCGATCATGCCCTTCAGCGGATACAGGAAGTTCCGCGAGAAGCGCACGCAGAACTCGAAGGCATTGCGCTGCCGCTTCTGGCGCTCCTGGGCACTGCAATGGGGCACCTGGAGCTGCAGCAGACTGGCCTGCAGCTTGTCCAACGCATTGATGATCCGCTCCTGTGTCAGGCTAATCCTGTTGTAGATGCCCAGCTTCTCGAACTTCAGATCCTCCAGGGACTTGCTGTACACCACCAGGGGTTTGGTCCTGCGCCGTTTGTTTTGCCTTTCGTTTGGGCACTTTGTTGCATTGTTACCTGTGGAGGGCACAAAAGTGGTTGGCTGTAGTGCCACAGCCTCATCTCCACCACCTGTCCTGCCAGTCGGACGCAGTGTTCTTGGAGGGCTTGCGGCGCCTGGGGGGCTTGGGTGGCTCCTTTGACCTGGTCCCTTGGTCCTGCGTGACTGAACACCCACTGGCCTTTGGCCTTTGACCATCCTGGAAGTCGGGGCGTGGCGCAGCTCCGGCGGCGGCACCTCGATGTTGTCCTGATCTTGCGATCTCTGCGAGGTGTACCGCATGGGCGAGAGGCTCCTGAGCAGACTGACCCGGTGCGGTCGCTTCTCCAGCTCCACGAAGCGGGGTTGACTTGGGACTGGATTCGCCGGGACTCTCTCATCCTGATTCTGATCCTGATCCGCAACCGGATCCCAATCACTGGAGCTGTGTTCGGGTCGGGCCTCCACATAACGCATGTAGCCCTGGCGATCCGCATACTCGTGCTCCAGATCGCTGTCCTCCAGAAAGAAAGGTGTCAGCGGTTCGGGCGCCATGCTGCCATGCTGCTCCATGAACTGGTAGGCGGACAGGGGCGTGGCATGCTGGGCCTGGCACACATCAACATTCATGGCCTGCGACATCATGGCCGATGGCACAAGGTCCACCCACTTGGCCTGCGGCGTATGGTATTGCTCGACGGACACTTGACCAGCATCGGCATCGGCATCGACATCGGCATCGGCATCTTGGTGGTGCTTCCGGGAGTCCTGAATCTCCTGGGGTTTCTTCTGCTCCTCCTGCCTCTGCCAACTCCATCGCTGTTTCGTCAGATTTTTAAACCCAAATGGTCGCGGCGTGACCTTGGCACTTGGTTGTGCTGACTCACCAATGCTCTCCAGTTCTGCGCACACTTCCCGATGCAGTTCCTCCAATCTCTCCAAGGTAAGGCCATTCCGTACGTCATCCCCATAGCGACCTATTCCCACCAGTGTGTGCGTCTTTTTCCTGCCCCTGGATTTGCTCTTCACTCTTTTCGATGATTCGGCGCCACCAGCAAGCCGCTTTGCCGGCGATGGGGAATGGAAATTGTCCTGCTCCTCAGCGTACTCCTCATCATCGTTGTCCCCATTGCTGATGGGCTCCGCATCGAGGGACAGCTGGGTGACCACGTCCAGGTCGCGGGAGGTAACCATGCTGGTCACATCCTGGCCGGGACGACGAACCTTACAGAAGCGCGGCATGCTGGGCACCTGGTTTCGGCCCACGTCCCGTTGACGCTTCAGTTGGGCCAGTTCGGCTCCACGCAGTTCATTGTACCGCCTCACCGCATTTGGAATGGACTCCGGGCCAGAAAACTAAGTAACCAGGAGTTAATAATTATACTTCATATAGTTATTAAGGGGCTGTATACAGTTTTAACTTAAAAGAAATCGACTTTGTTTCTATTTTATTTCATTTATTTCTTTATTTAAGAATACACACAGAAAATGTTATATATTTTTTGAGCGGAACTCCCGGAGATCAGATCCTTTGCAAATAAATATTTTTACTAATACTAAGTCTTCAAATACAGTTAAAAGATACCATAATATGTGACAAATTTTATTTCAGAAAAAATCTTGGAAAATTCACATTCTTTCGGCCTTCTAACTGTATATTAATTCTTAAACAAAATTGAAAAGTTGTAAGATTATCTTATATGTTGCAGAAATGGGACTTGCAACTAATCTAAGCTTTTACGGCCTTCAACTAATCTACAAACTTTTATACAAATTATAAAATTGTTTGTCTTGTAGATTTATAGATTTGCTGTGTCTGTAGATTTAATACATATTCGTTTTCAAACAACATTTTAATTTAAACCGTGCTTACACTTCAGAACATTGTGTTATAACAATGTATTTGAGCATTTAAAATTATTACAAAAAAAAATAATAAAACTACTATAAAGCGACTATATATCCTTTTTTACGCGTCTTAAACAATGAATCTTTGACGATTTTACGCTGAAATATGATATCGTTGTCCAATTTTAACCAAATTATAACCGGAATTTAATAATAGTAAGCCATTACTTTAACTCGAGGTATTTATTTGAATAAATTGAAAAAAGCTATGATTTGTTTTTATTTATTTTACACTACCTTGAAAGAGAAAAAAGACTTTTGGAAATGTTACATATATCCAGCGGACAGAGGGACATGGCTAGAACAAACTCTTCTAGGGTTGCTGATCAAGAATATGTGGTACTTTATGGGGTCGGATTAGTCTTTTTCCCTGATACTTTTGACTTTTGACTGAAACTATAATAACCTCTGCTAGGGTATTTTCACGCGGGGAATCCCCGTTCTCCATACTCACCCGAAACTCAAAGTTCTTTCCTCTTCCGAGAGTCTCCGCTTCAAAAGCGCAGCCCAACATATTTTACTTTCCTTTCTTTCGAAATGGATTTAATCCTTATGTTGAGTTTATTGCTACTATTTGTTAGTGGTTTTTGTTTTAAGATAAAGGTAGCACCGGATTAAATTTAGTACTGGGCGTTCTTCCAAAAAAAAGAAAAAAGAAAAACTCTGTGAGTCGATTTCTGTTGATAGCTTTTGCATGAATGTTTCGATCGAATTTTTTCAAAGTGGAAATGAAAATTTACCTAAATATGACGACGTTTTCCGCCCTGCCCACCCGAAGATATTCTCTTAAAAAAATAGGTTTAAATAAGTTTTGTTCATAACAGTTCTTCAACCATTTCACATATATAACTTCTTAAGTTGTTTTGAAACTGTCAATTCACTTCAGAAATACTGTAAAGACTGCTCAAGAAATGCATTTCCATTTTGAAATAAATAAATTTTGAACTGCTTTATGAAAAATATAAAATTAAAAACGCAGGAATTTTTTGATATATTACTATTTATTTATGAATTGTTATTTTAATCTGTTCAAAAGGTTGTAAAGAAAGGTCAAGAAAATAAGAAGGCTTAATAACATGGCTTACAAATTTAAATCGACAAAATCCTCCAGAGATCAAACCGTGTTTTTCTGGTAAAGTTGGACTACCTGATTCAGAAAATGACACAATTTTTTGAGTGGTACCATTATTTTTAAAAATGTGTGATAACATTGTTATCGATTTCATCGATAGTTTAATGTACTACAAATGGAACATTCTCTAACATAATAAATATCGCTTTGACTTGAAGGGTCAACATTAGCGAAGTCAAAAAGCTATTAATGTCAAAAATCCGAAGTAAATCGATTTTATGCAGATTTTTTTTGTCCAAGAAAAAAATTGTTTTTCCGATTGTTAGATCACAGTGTAAGCCAGTGTAAAGGACAGTTTTCTGACCACAATAAACCAATAAAGAAAGTTATAGTCAAGACCCCCCGCTTTAAATAATGTAAGACCGAAATTTGATTTAGAAAGATTTTTGGAAAATTAAACCACAAGCCTGTAAAAGTCTGCATTTTCAAAATCGGCTATCTGTGAGAAAAGTAAACTAAAGTTAGTAAAGTTATGGACTTTATGTAATTTCTCTACGGACTTTGTTTTGGAAAAATGATAAATTTTAAAGAAAATTACCTAAAGTGACAAGCCAACGCAGAGTTATGCCTTTTAAAAATTGAGTATAAAGTTATGGCCTTGGGTGCGCTGGTTTTGGGTTTTGGTTTCTGCAAAGCCATATTTTAAAAGCTTAAACTTCATTAAATTAGCCAGAAAATCTACGGATAAATTATAGGACCAACAAATATAAACGCAAATTCTTAAAATGTTAAGTCAGAAATATGTAGAAGTATGCATTTTCATAATGGGATTTCTGCGAGAAAAGTTTTTGAATCAGAAGTGGAAATTTTAAGTAAATCGAGAAAGAAACACTATACACTATATATTTTATTAAACTTACCCAGCCAAAAGTTAAGATGGCAAAAATGAACCCAGTCCAATAGAACAGACAACAAAAAGACACCAATATCTTATAGAATAGATTGCACTGTTTGAACGCTTTATTCGGGGCTTTCCCTTCTATCCTTGCTCACAATAAATAGTACGACAAAAGTTGTTAACTCTAATCCTAGGCATGCTTAAAAGTAAACAAAAAATCCTTAAGTACGATCCGCAGAATCAGCGCCTCAACCGAAGATATTTGAGTAGAGGCTGTTTAGCCCGTTGCTGATCGTCGAGAATATGCCGCTGTCGCTGGAGGCGGCGCCCGCGTAGGGCGGTACAGGTGGGCGGTAGTGCTGGGGCGCCGGAATCGGGCGGTACAGTCCCCCGGGACCCATCACGCCCCCTCCTCCGATTGGCACTCCGGCGGCGCCCATGGCCCCGATGCCCTCAATGCGCTGCGAAGTCAATTAACAAGATGCTTTAGTTGAGTGATCACTATTTCTTCGATTAGGATTTGGCATTTTTTCTTTGATTTTGCTCTTTACAATATCATTATCAAGAAACACTTAAATTAAAAATTAATCTTTGCACCAGAAAGGTCTTAAAATCTAGTGTTTTTTTAACTCCTGTCTAGGGAACTTTTAAAACTTTAATTTAAATTATTTTGATCTGAAGTTAAGTTAGAAACTGGTTTTAAATAACTTAAGCAAATTTCGGTAAGATATCCTTGCATCTATAACGTAAACTAAATGACCTTTAAATATTTTAGTTTGCTTATTCTTTTTTTGTCTACATACAAATAAAAGCACAGAACAAAAAATTTAAACTCTTTGGTTTTATAACTAAACTACAAAATATGGGTTTTATAATATTTAGTTTTAAATCGTTATCTTTATACCGCCAGCAGTTTAATTTTTTCCATGGGTGAAATATGACAAAGCTTACAAGGACTTTCTGAAATAATATATGTACATCAAATGCTAAGCTAAACTATTGTTAAAAAAGATCTGGGCTCATCTAAAATAAATATAAAAAAAAACTAAGATGCCATCTGCAAGGGTATAAGAAAAAACAAGGACCAAATAAGGGTGCAGGAGTTCAGAGTGAGGTGTTCACAGGTGTTTTAGTGGGTTAGTTGCGTGGCACTTCCTGGTCCTCAACCACTTCAGCTATTATTTACACGCCAGCCAATCGCTTCCAGAAATCGAAGGATCCCATTTATTCGGTGGACAGTTGCAGCTTCCCATTGACGCGATGCTTAGCAGTTGAGGTTTTAATAGTGGTGGATGAGCCCGGAGCTGCCACCATGTACTACTCGGTAATCGGTTATCGGTCATTGGTTATCGTTTATTGGTTATCGGGGATCAGAGAAGGATTAAAGAGATTAGAAACTCAATGGGTTAGCCAGCACCAGAGGTTGCTTAAAGTAAGGAGTTGTGTGGTGACCCCAATCCACCAAGGGATGAAGACCTACCTTCGAGGGCTGCAGCGTCACATTCAGCAGCGTGGGATGCTGCTCCACAATCACGAACTCCACCTCGCGAGGAGCAAAACCCTCGGCAAAGACCTTGAATGGATTTGACATTTTTACTTATCCATATATATGTAATTCATATCCAACCAAGTTTCCCTTGTTCCATACTAACCTCCACTTTGTAGTATCCCGGCAAAAGAATGCGCCAGAACTCACCGTACTTGGTGGTTTGGAAACCCACATCACGTCCCTTGATTTTTATGGAGGCCCGCTCAATGGGCATGCCCGCCGGATCGAACACGAATCCCTGGACCCCTCGATGCGCCTCGGCCAGGAATTTGATCAGGGACTAAATGAAGGTAAGGGAGAGAACATGAGGTAAGTTAACTCAAAAGGGAACAAATGTTTTACACTTAAATTTAACTTTAAAGGAAGTATACCAGATTTAAAACGTGATAACCAAAGTGTTCCATCACGTACGCAGCCCCCAATGTACCCTTTTTGTTGGTAAAATTATTATTATTTCTTAACATTAATAATAGACAAATAGATTCTTGTTTTTCAAATTTGTTCAATTGATTCAAACAATACATTTCGTTAGGCAACGTTTGTATGAAGACTAAGTGAGTCCCATTTTCTGCTAATAACGCTTCTAAAACAAAGAATTATTTAAAAAACAAATAATTGTTCTTAAAGACTTTCGAAAGCAAAAATCTGTTCGGCTGTTATTAAGGTTCATAAATAAACAAGTTGACAGAGAACTCTTCGTGACGAGATTTGAAATATGTACACCGAAAGCTATTAAAAAATTGAACTTTCATTATTGTAAAAAATAAAGTTAAAATTGTATTACACTGAGTGTATATAATTATAACATTGGCTTAAAAGAGTGTTAAATCCCGATTTTTCGTGCTTGTTATATGCCAATAATTCAACTTTAACAAAAGTGTATGGAACTGCCGTTTAAAATATACTATTAGCTTATCATGTAGATGAGAAAACGGTTATTAGTCTTAGTGTACATAAATTATTTAAAAAGGGGTTACACAGAAATATAAACGAGTGTTTGAAAGATTTAATTATACATTTGATAAAGTTTTGGTTTATGGGAGACAGCTTTGCTGACATTTTATATTCTAAACTAACTTGTGAAGATTTGAAATGAAAAATAAAATTCTATAACCATATAATCCATACACACAAAAACAAATTGTCATATAAACTAAACTATTGTTACATGAATTTATATAACCCAATAGTTTTGGGTTTGTAAATGTCTTAATAAGATGTTTATTAAATTTATAGCACGAAAGTATCAAAACAAATCATATGTGGTTTAAAAATAAATCTTCAGACTGCAGTTTTAGACTCTTTTGGTATACAAATGAAACAAAAAAAAATAGGGGTTATATTATTTACACTCTATTTATAAGACACAATATAAAAACTAATTTTTTTTTGTTCCCATTTGATTTAACAGAAACTATAATTTGAAGTGTAGATTTTGCACTCACCAGCTGATTGTCCTCCCAGTACTTCTTGAGCTCGTAGGCCGGCGGAAACTTGCAGCAGGATATCTCGAGCGTGATCTCCATGCAGCCGTACCACACGTAGTTGTAGTCCTGCATTCCGCCGGTCAGCGGATACCAGGCGGCCCCGTTCGTGATCCCGTTCTCGAAGGCCGGCGTGGCCGATTTGCAGGCCACGCCCCTGGACATCTTGGCGTGGTTGCGGGCGTAAACGAGGGACAAGTGCTTGAACACGTCGTCGTCGGGCGTCAGCGATGGCGCCGCCGAGTAGGTCTGGAACACTGCGCCCAAGGGACATGTTTGGCGCAACGGAACAGAGCAGAACGGAACGGAACGGAAAGAGAAGCAAACTCGATTAGATGGGTCGTTCGGGATCGGATCTCGGGGACTCACTCGCGCACAGGGCGGACGAACGGCAGATCCCTTTGAGCAGCCATATTGGTGGGAGAGTACAGAATGAGCTTTATCAATCGGATCTCGACCGGCAGCCGTAGACCGAAGGCTTAAGGCTTTAAGTTTCGCAGGACGAAGCTCTAAATGTTCTTGCAAACTGTCTGGCATTAGCCCCACACACATTGAACAAAATTGCTTAATTTCAAGAACAATAACCTACTCTGATAAATAAAATGGTAAAATGGAATATTCAATCATAATATTGAAGACTACGCATATGAAAATATTGTAATTAAAGTGCAAAAAATATTATTTTATTACCTAACATAGGTTTTTTTTTATTTAAATGCATTTTATTTAAGTTGCATGTGGTTAAAATTAAAACTAATTTTAGATATTCAAATCAATTTCGAAAATAGCCGAATAAAAAAATGTTTAACATATAAATTTTAAATAACAAAAATTTGCAATGGAAGAAAATTAAAGCGAAAATAATTAAAACCTATTTATATACTAAGATTTTTTACCAGGCAAAACAGGGAAAACAGCTGAGGTAGTTGATGTTTTCCCTGTTTATTATAATTATAAATATATGGAAGGCTCATTTTTAAAGCAATGTCAATGTTTTCATTGTTCCTAAAGTTAAGGAATTTTTGACCTAATCTAAACGAAACTATCAGTCTATATCTTTGAAGTGCTTTTATTTATACATTAAGAACGCCAGTTATTCGAATCGTTCCTTTACTGCACTAAAAAAACCTCAAAGAATCTATTTGATTTAATTTCAGCCTAACCGAAACGGAACTATCATGCTATATCTTTGAAGTGCTTTTATTTCTACCGCAAGCAAAAACACAAGTGGTATTAGCTCATTCACTGAGATCTCTTGATAAAATTCTTCGAATATTCAGTTATCACTGGACTTTTTAATTGTCTTTCGATAACAACCTTCAATTGGAATATCTTGAAAAAGAATAACAAAGTTTCGGTTGTGAAGTGCTCTTCTCAAATGAAAAATCAGACATAACTTTTGATATTCAATATTAAAATGAAATATTAAATCATAATATTGCACGATTTAATATTAAAATATTTTATTTATGATAAATGCATTTTATTTATGATAAATATGGTTTAAATTTTCAGATATTAAAATAAATTCCGAAAGCAATCAAATGAAATTTGTTCATATTTCATATTTAAATAACTAAAAACATATTTAAATTGAGCACATTATATTTGATAAGTTGCTAGGTTCGTTTTACCAGTGTAACAAAGTTTCCGTTGAGACCTGCCCTACTCAAATCAGCAATAGAATATTGAAAAGCAGACAGACATAACTTTAGGTTAACTGAACACCACACAGACCTAGCTTTATGAGTTTTAATTTAAACTGATTTTAAATATCTGTTTGCAAGGACATGGAATGCTACTATGCTACAATGCTACAGGTTTAAGATATACTCCTGAGACTACTTACTGGAGTTGGGCGTATTGTCGTAGGGGTAACTGGCCACCAGGGCACCACCATGGAGGCTTCCACTCAGCACGAACTGGATCTTGGATATCCAGTCTTTGACGGAATCCGTTTCCGGCTGACCCCGCTTGTTGTTCTGCTTGAAGTAGTCGGGGAAGTTGCGATTCAGATCGAAGCCACGGGCATTATATCTGAAAAGGGTTTTTTTTTTAGTAGGGGCTGTGTCATCTCTTACGCGGGGAAATCTCCAGAGAACCCACCTTCCTTGACCACCATCGCATGTTCCCTCCTTGGACACCGCATAACCGTCCGGATTCATCGTGGGCAGAATGTGGATGCGAGTGTTGTCCAGCAGCCACTTCACATACTGATCCGAACTGTAGCTGGTCACGAAGTACTGGATGAGGTGGAGTAGCATTTCCCGGCCCACGGGCTCGTTGCCATGGATATTGCCCACGTACTTCACATCTGGTTTGCCCACCATGTGCTCGTACGGCGATGAGCTGACCACCATCACCCACAGATCCCGACCCTGGATGGACTTCCCGATGGAGTACAGGGCCGTCAGGTTGGGGTACCGGGCACTGGTGGCCCTGCATATTGAATATATCAAATAATCAAGGGGTTAACAGTGGCTACATTTTAAAATCTAGCACCTAACATGATTATTTTGTTTAAATAATAAATAATTTGATTAGCTTATTATTTTAAATTAAAACTCACAACAATATGACAACATTTGACAATTTGCTAAATTTGACAAAATTGGAAAACTCATTCGAATTTTGCATGTTGTTAAAAAAAATGAAAACATTTGAGGTTTTAATTTTTAAAATTTGCATGGCTTGAAAACTTTAAGAAGTGTTGTGAAAATTATAGATAAAACGATGCAGATTCTAGAAAGGTTTCTAAGCTCTGGATAGTTAAAAAAAATGAAATTTCAGTTTTTTTCTTTTGGTTGTATAACATTATTTGAGTGTCCGAATTTCTCTTTTAAATCCAAAGATATTTTATAGCAAAACGCTTGAGGACTTTTAAAACTTAAAGCAATTTTTTTTTGAATTTAGCAGATACATCGATAAAAGACTAAAAACTGCTAAAACCTACTCAAAATTACTGTTTTCAAATCACTTAAGATGTCCTTTGTTATGTAGTCTGGTTGACCATTAGGTGTAGATTTTTTAAGGACCTAAAGGATGTTTCACAAAGGACTAAGGAATGTCGAATGCGCCTCGTGGCCCGCATAAAATTTACAAATATTTTTCTGACAAAATATTTGTAAAATTGACTAGCGATTTTTGAAACTTTAAATCAAATGCCTTTTTGAATATTGGCGATAAGCCGTAAAAAATGGTTTCTTTTTGCTAGAGATTTTCAAAATTGATTTAAAATTTCTGTTTTTGTTTAAGGGACTTGAAGAACTCACCTGAGGAACCTCGTGAGCTCCTCGTGGTCGTGGTAGACGAAGTCCAGGTGCTGGGCATCCGGCAGGTAGGCCCTGGGCTCCGGCAGTCCCGGCTCCGCCGCCATTTGGTGGTGCTGCATCTGCAGCTGGTCCCCGGGACTGGGCGTCTTGGCATCGCTGGGCCGGACGAGGAGTAGAAGGAGGATGGGCAGGAGCGGCAGGAGGAGCAGGACGGAGGGCAGGAGCTGGAGCAGCTGGTGGCCGGCGAATGGCGTTCGCAAGATCATGGTCCTTATCGGTCGGCGGCGAGTCTGCGAATGATCAAAACTGGCGGTCGGGCAGACCATTTAACAGGGGCTCTCTGGCGGTGCGAAATGTGGTTCGAAACGAGAGCCAACTGGTTGTGCGGCTGGCCAAATCGAATCGGGATGGGATGCGATGCGATGCGATGCGATGGGATGGGATGAGATGAGATGAGCTCTGCTACGTGAAGATCGAGACCGAGATCGAGATCTGCGATCAGCGATCGTTGCCCCGACGTACGTAAGTGGCATGCCTCAAACGTGTTCGCCCTGGATTATTCCCCCCTGACACTGACAGCATCCATCATCCGACCAGAGTTCGTTGATACATGACAAAGGAAATACCCATATAATGACCAAACCGCATCCAAATTTTGATACCTCACTTCATCTCGAAATTGTCAAGGAAAACGCTTATTAAAGTTTAACGAAGTCAAATTGTATTATTAATTTTGTTCCATAGTAAATCTCAAAAATATTTATGTAATAATTACAATTTAAGCCAATTTGTTTTGGCAAAAAAAATTAAGCCGCATCCCAATTTTACACTTATATTCGAAAGTGTCAATCGTGTTAATTGTGTCAATTCTAAGAGTTAACAGAATCAGTTAAAATCATATAATTTTATATCATAGTAAATTAAAAAAAAAATGATTTAAAATTCACCATATAAATCAATCGGTTGAAAAGCAATAAGGTTATTTTTTAAACACCTTTATTAAAATTAAAAGTTTTGGAAAGTAACTACTATTGAGATAAAATTCTACAAATATTTCAAACTCTTGAGATTTTTATTTTATTTTTATATGTTGACAAATTGGTTGACTTTGCAACTTAAAATATTTATTTTTTAGATTTTAAAAGAAGTAATATTTTCACATTCAAAATAGTTTTTAAAGTTACAAAGCAAACGCATTTCTGGTTAAGCTGTCTGTCCACTTTTCTGTGTACTTTCTTTTTAGATTTTGATTTTGGAAATTTATTTAAGTGTCCGAATTTCTGATGAAAATTTAAGATACTTCCAGCACAAAATTTTCATAATATTATTATCTCAATAATAATGTTGTAGTTAAACAGTCAATTTGAACTCTAGGAAACAAGAAGGTTACTCGCGGTAATGTCTGTTAAACGGAATTCGCTTGCAACTGAAATTCGATGATTGCGATATAATAACGATATAACCATATATTTGCCATCCCTATTGGCTTCCCAGTAATTGATCCCCGGAGATACCATGCCCGATCCCGATACACATACACCCCCAAGGCGAGGGCTTGTCTAATCAGGTCTCGGTCTCAGGGGTCTCTGTCACCGGATGGCTCTATCTATCCGACTATCTCTCGGACCTCGATAAGATACCCATACCCATAACCATCACCATGCCCATGCCCATGCCCATACCCCCAACCCAGTGGGCCCTATAAGAGCTCACGCCATCGCTGCGAGCCCATCAAAAGTCAAACAAACATAGAGCCATGAAACTGACTCTCACCATTGGACTAATCCTCGAGGCCGTCGGAGCGCTGGCCCAGCCGCAGGGAAGGATCGCCGGAGGCGAGGACGCCGTTCCCGGCCAGCTGCCCTACCAGGCCTCCCTCTCCGTCGGCGGCAGCTACAACTGCGGCGCCGTGATCATCGGCCAGCGGTACGCCCTCACCGCCCTCACCTGTGTCTGCTCCGACGGCAAGGACACCCCGTAAGTTTGCAAATCCTAAAGACCACCTCCAGAAGAACTTCCTTAGTTTAGAAAATCAATGATAACTGCGCTAAAGATCTAGGATTAACCTAGGAGTCATTCCTCACATTTTTTGTTTAAGCCAATAATATTTTTTAACTATTTCTTCTAAATAAAACAAGAAAAAGCAAGAAAAAGCTGTGGGATGTTTTTTTGCTGCTCATTTGGAATTTTTACAGTGCTTGTTATGCATTTATTTAGTGGATTTAGGAAACATACGCTAAAGTTCAAGTTTCGACCTTCTGGTTTACTGATAACCTTTAATTAAAGACAAAAGCATTGTATATTTGTATGGTATTTCTTGTTTTTTTTTTTACTAAAGTATTTTATAGCTTAAAAAGCATTTAATTTACCAATAACATTTCCAAAATAATTTCAGTCAAAGTATTGCAAATTTATATAGTAATTATAAGAAATTTATAAAGTATTTTTGATAAATTTTTATAGTGTCCTTCTGATATCAATAAGTTGCTAGATTCCAGGAAAGTAACTTTTTGTCATTGTTAAATAAATTCGCAAGCTTTTTAAAAAATTTAAATTAATGAAAATTGTTTCTTTAAAATCAAAAGAATATTGTACAATTGATTCGAGCATAATTTAGATAATAATTAACTAGTTATATAAAAAGAAATTGTTCACAAGAATAGTGGTTGTGCAGCGGCATTTTCATATTTTACATCTAAATTTAACGCATTCTGATATATACCTTTTAAATTTGCAAAGTAAGCCTTAAAACTTTTTATAATTTAATTTTCATATGTACTACGCCACAAGTTTCTACCAATAAGTAACAAAAATATTTTAAAAATAAAAGTATCATAAAAAATAAAAAAATTGAAAGAGACGGAGAAAGAGTACTTTAAAAACCGTTTCAACTTTTGATTAGATTACTTTTTTGTTGATAAAATGATTTTTGCTTTCGATTTTAGGTGGCCAGCTGTTCTATTTGCCGTGACCGTGGGATCCGTGGACCTGTACACCGGCGGAAAGCAGATCCGCGTGGAGGAGATCACGATCAACCCGAACTACAGCACGTTGAAGACCGGAATTGCACTGCTGCGTCTGCAGGAGGACGTTCCGTTCGGCGCGACCGTGGCCCCAATTGCCCTCTCCCGGGTCACTCCGCCCCTGGGCGCCCAGGTGGAGGTTTCCGGATGGGGCCGCACCAGCGAGTCCGAGGTGAACATGCACCGCACCCTGCAGATCGGCGCAGCCGAGGTGATGGCCCCCCGCACATGCGCCCTGGCCAAAACGGAGGAGGTGCAGAGCGACCAGGTGCTGTGCCTGGGCCATGGCCGTCGCCAGGGCATCTGCAGCGGCGACATGGGCGGACCGGCCGTGTACGAGGGCCAGCTGGTGGGCCTGGGCGCCCAAATGCTTGGCGAGTGCGGCGGCATGCTGCCCGAGCGATTCATCAGCATCGCGGCCAACTACGATTGGATCCAGCAGCAGTTGCAATAAAGCACTATCGATAATGACAGCATGACAAAAGCACTAGCTAGGGTTGTTTCTTCAAGGGGTGGAGGTGACAGTTCAAAAACTCATATCCCTTTATGGGTTACAATACAGTTAGAATAATAAAAAAAATCGTTTTATTTCTTAGTGCATATACACACAAAGAAATTTATATATCGTTCCGCTGAAAGTTTTCGAAGTTACAATGATATTTTAAAAGGCGTTTTTAGAGTGCTCGAAAGTTCGAGTACAAACGTTAAACGCGTTTTTCTCAAAATTGTGATTTTAAGTCATCGACTAGTCTCAAATATTAACACGAGCTTCTTAAAAATATTTTTTAGCATTTATCGAAAGATTTTTCCCACCGACAATTATTTTTTTTTATATAAACAATTAAATGCCAAAATGTTGGTCAAATATTAATGTTTTTGAGAAACCACCGTTTTTTCATAAAATTGTACATTGATTATTCCTTCGATTGATTACTAGATTTACTTTATAGAAATCTTTTTGGTTTTTTAACTTCGAATGATCCAATTCAGAGATATAGTGGTCAGCGCAAAACGCATTTTTTACCTCCTTTCCAAAAAAACATTTTTACTAAGACTAATATCTAAAATACAGTTAAAAGATACCATAATAAGTCTACAAATTTTTAGATCAGAAAAAAATTCGGAAAAATTCGTTTTGTTCGGCCTTCTTACTGTATATACATTTTTAAGAAAAGCAAAAGTCTCAAGTATAATTTCGAATCTGCGTTCCTAGTTTGAAATTTTAATATTGCACCTAATTAAAGTGTTATCCCCACTTTGTACAAATATTTTTATAAATAATTGCGTTCAACTTATCCCCTATTTGTTGCTTATAAATATTTAATTATATTAAATAATTTATGTTGAAACTTGTAATTTGTGAGTCAATAACACTGCAATAAGAATGCTTTTCAACAGCATTATTATTTGCATACCCGATGTGATAGTGAACAAAATGCTTTTCAGCACTATTTAGACTATTGAATTTAATTTAATGTTTAAAATATAAACTCATGTATATAAATATAGATTTTTCTAAAATGTCATTTTTATGCCAATAATACTGAGGTACTCCATATTCCAAGAATGCTATTCCATAAGAATGCTTTTCCGCTGCAGTTGCAAATAACATAGGGTATTATAAAAATCATAGTGATACAAAGCTTGCCATATCTACATATGATTAAAGAGTTAAGTTTGTTCAATGGCGTGCATGTTAGAACATGAATCGTTTCGTTTGGTTGGGGATGTGGATATGCTAGCGATAATTTCACTCATCCTGTTTAGATATTGATATTATGTTACGGAACGAATACAACTGGTGAGGAACATCGGCCAAACGTTGAGTCTATTGAAGGAGCTGCAGGTCCGTTAGCAGCGGCACCTTGGCCACCTCGTGGAATTTCTCGAGCGTGTACTTCTCCCGGATCGTTTTGATGTTGGGCGGCTGATTGCGGTGCAGTCCGGCATTCAGCACGGGTACAATTCTGGCGAACTCGGCCAGCTGGTAGCCGCTGTAGTGGACGAGTGTGGGGCTCCAGGTGTTCGAGGCCGGGCCCCGCTGCTTGGAGCCGCCGCTCATGCGCAGGGCCATGAAGAGGACGGCGCAGGCCATCTGCGAGTCGCGGAAGGCAATGGTGGCATAGTCCATCAGCGCCATCGCCAGAATGTAGTTCGCCAGGGTCAATGTGGGCACTGGCACCTCGGCGCAGCTGGCGTAGCGGCGCAGGAAGCGGCAGGCGAGCGGTACGCCCAGTTCAAACTCGATCGTGCGAAGCGTCTCGAGTTCCATCTGCACAACTTGGTCGTAGTTGTAGGACGCGTTGCTTAAGTACAGAAAGTCGCGGATCAACGACGGCGGCTGCCACTCGTCATATTTGCAGGCAATGAGGTAGGCAGCCACGCCCAGGAGCTGAATCTGATCCTTCTTGATCACCTTACGGCTCAGATACAGATCGACGATCTTCATTGCCAGATACAGAGTCTCGTCGTTGAACTCGAAGCTCTGCTGCACAACCACCATCCAGTCGACCAGTATGGTGCGTATCCCGGCGGTCAGGTGGATCTGTCGCGGCATATAGTCAACAATGGGGAACATCGGTTCGCGCCCCTTCAGGTACTCAAATATGTCCATTGCGTAGGTCGACACCTGCAACGGATCGTCCCAGTGCTTGCGGTCAAAGTCCTCCACATTCGGTGGCACCGCCGGAATGGATGGAATGGATGGCATGGACGGCATGGATGGTTTGGATGGTATGGATAGTATGAATGGTATGGATGGCATGGATGGTTTGGATGGTCTGGATGGCATGGATGGCATGAATGGTTTGGATGGTATGGATAACAGTTGCTCGCCCACAGCCGACTTCTTGGCGGGGGGCACTGCCTTGGGCCGCTTGGGACGCCGCTTGGGCCTGGCCAAGGCCTCCTCCAGCTTGTCCACCTTGCCCACCTTGTGGCCATGCTCCACCGAATGCTCCACCGAATACTCCTCCGAATTCTCCTTTTTGTTGGATTCGCGTGTTTTCCTCCCGTTGTCGGTGACAATGGGATTCTTCTGTTTCTTTGCTTTCATTTTAATACCCCGTTTCATAGCCTTGGATTTCTTGGCCGGCTGCTCCGAATGCTGCTCCACCTGCTGCTCCAGCTGCTGCTCCGACGGCTGCTCCGATTGCTGCTCCGATTGCTGCTCATCCTGGCCTCCCGGCAGTGACATGTTGTTAGCATTGTTGGTCAGGTTACCCAGAGCGGAGCGCTTGACTTTGAATTTTTTGATGGGACTATCGTCGGCCTTGGGTTTGGAGCGCTTCTGCATATTCTCGGCGTCGTTGGGATCCACCATGTTGCCCGCAATGGCGGTCTTCCGTTTGCGGCCCGCTTCGGTGGTGGAGTCCAGCGCCATGGGCGGATTCCTGGCCACGCCCCCCTGATGATGACCGCCTGTTTTGGTGGCGTGCTTTTTTCCTTTTTTTGGTGCCATTTGGGAAATTCTTTTTTTTTTCGCACTTGTCGGTTTGTTGTTGTTGTTGTTGTTTTTTGTATCGGTTTGGTGTCTGCTTAAGAAGAGTTCAAGAATTCAGCGAATTGTCTGTCAGCGCAAGTGCAACTCGACTCGATTCTAATGCTTGTTTTAAATCTGCTTTTTGGGAGCTGTCGTCACACAAACTGACAATTTCAATAAAATTTCAGCCGGAGCGGAGTTTTTCGTTTGAGTTATGGCGCTTGGGTCCTGAGATCAATTTATTAGTGGCTAATTACTAATATTACTGTCTAATTGAACTAAAAGATTTTCAACGTGCAGCCGCCAAACCAATTCCTCTGTGGTATTAGATATTCTAAAAGCCTATTCACCTTTTAGTATTTTTTGGGGGAACGATGGGAAGACGGTGAAAAAGTGGAACACCAATTCACACTGCGTCACGTTCTCAAAAATACTGTAATGTGAATAGGCTATAAGCTTTCGAGCAGCAGTTTCAGTCAAACATTATCGATATGTCTAAAATAATAACCATAACATTATAAGTTTACTATTACTACAAAACTGTTTAAAAAAATGAGTTATTATTTTGATAGCAATCTCTTAAGTTCAAGTAAAAATATGATTCCTTTAGTGGGTCTTCTACCCTCGCAGTTTCAAAAAACGATTTTTTTTCATTTTGCTTAGATCCGATGCTCCGTTCAAAAGTTATTCAAATTAAATTTTTTTGGTACTTCTCAACATGAGCATTTTTCTGTGTGTGTGTCAGCTTAAAAAAATTTCAAGTACTTGTTGTTACAAAAAAAAAAGGTTTTTCTACGACTTTTTGAAAAACTAGCTTATTGAACGAAAAGTCGCTAAAAATAGCTAAGTTAAAGCTACAGACAAGTGATATATGTCATTAAATAGGTATTGGCAAATGCTGTTACTCTGCTAATCGGCCTAAATAAAACACTTAAACACATAAAATAATTTAATATTTTTTTTTTGCACATTTTTGCAAATTATTACAACTTGTTAGAACCGATTTTTGTTTAACTTTTCACGTTAAAAAAATAATTTTTTTTGGTGTGGTTGGACTTAAACTTTGCAACCACCATTCCAATAAAAAATTTAACTCTGGCGTTATTTATATCCAACATCTCTGATTTTGCTTTCTCAAATTTGTTTGTCAACAGCCCAGCTGATTGACAGTATGACCGAAGCATACGAATTCGGGCGAGCTTTGAAAACTTCGGTCTCACTAGAAAGAATAAAGTTTTTTCGCTGGTGAAACTGGTCCGTCGCACAATTATATAAACTTATTAAAATGCGTTACAGAAATTTCGGCAACTTTTTATTGAGTAGGTGCAGTTGTAAATATATATCAGCGTTCATATTTCGTTTTGTACGCTGAACATAAGAATCACAGACACACACGTTTCACAAATTTCTGGTACTCAGCCGGGCTTTTGGCATGGAAACACACATATGTACATATACGGTCACTTATGCATTTTTTTGCCGGCCGACCTAGATACTCACACACTATAGATGTTAGGAATTTCATCGGAATGAGTATCTTATCGTATTTATTTTTTCAGTGTAGGCAAAATACCTAACTGAAGCGGTCCGAATAGGAACATTTAAAAAGATAATTTATTTAGTCGAATGCTTATTCATTTTTCTTCACACAACTTAATATCAGATATTTTGTATGTTGAAGGTGCGATCGCCACGACTTTCTTACCTCGTTAAGAGGTATTTTTGTTTGATTGCTTATCAGTTCAAATATTAATAGGACTCTTTGATACATAATTTTGTTATCTGATATCTGTATTGATATATTGAAACATATCATTTAAATATAAAGCACATAATATAGAAATTGCATTAACGAAATATCAGTCGAAGTGTAAACTCTGTTTAAGAATTTCTTAGCATAATTATAGGAGTTTGATTTGCAACCACAAAGTCGACATACTAGGTATGCGATGTAGGCGTCTAATAATATTTCAATCAATTAAAGATTGGGAAATCGGACGTAAATATATATCCCCATAAAAGAAAGAACTGATAACACACCAAATTAGTTTTCTTTGAGTTATGTAACACTTTTGAGAGAACGAGCTCATGCTATGGAAAACAAAACCTCTTTTATCTTACAAGTACTCATATTAAAGTGTTGTAATGGAAATGATTGTTGAGTGTAATCAAAAACCGGAAACGCATACTTTACTCAAGTCATTTTAACTTAAAATGATCATGAAAATCTCTTTCAGTTGTATTTTTTGGAGAACTCTTACACTGGGATTAATGGGGCTACGCAAACATTATGAGGATACTTTTCATTGACAGTTTAGTACGTTCTAAAGTACAAAATTATGACGTTATTTTATATTTTTTAAAATTTTTTACAAATATTGGGGTCTTGACTTTGGCGAACCGTGAACTGCTGAATTACAATCAATCAAAATGCCTTCCCACTGCAATGGAAACATCAAAGTTATCCCTAACGATAGCTCGGTTTTATTTAGGAAGAATTTTCGATGATCCACTCCAGATGCTGGGTCACATCCACGTAGCCATCTGGCTGTCCGGAACCACAGCCGCTGACGAAGAAGGAGGCGATGCCAACCAGCTGGTCCCCGAAGACCGCCGGAGCTCCGGCATCGCCGGAACAGAGTCCGGCAGAGTCCTCGCCGGACGGGGTCAGGCAGAGCAGGTCCTCCTGCTCCAGGAACAGCTCCTTCTGGCAATCCGCAGCACTCAGGCTCAGCCGGCTGGCCACCTGCAGGCCGTGGCTGAGGGATCCCTCCGGCTTGCTGGATCCCCATCCCGTGAAGGTGATCTGGGATCCCGCTGCCGGCCGACTGGTGGCCAGATCAATGGGCTTCGTATTGGCATTCAGCGTCACCGGCGTCTGCAGCTCCAACAGGGCCAAGTCATTGGCTCCGGCCGCATCGGAACTGGAGTAGTTCGTGTGGATTATGATCTTGGACAGGGGCACCAATTGGCCGCCAGCCAGGCGCTGAATACTGCCAGCTCGAATGTTGTAGGACTGGGCTGGGTAGCTGGTCAGGGGAATTTCAAAATGTACTCTGGATTGGCTAACAAGGTAATCCTACACAGAGAAAAAGCCCTATAAACCTTACGTAGTTTAAATCAATTCATTTAAAAATAATCTTTCTTAATAATTATTTTTTAAAAAATTTTTATTCTCCATATAAAAATTTAATTGTTTTAACACTTTTCTGCAAGTTTCTAATTATAATTTCTATGTATTTTACTAACTAACTATAAAAAAAAGATTTATTCTCCATTTAAAAATTTAATAGTTTTAAATCTTTTTGCAAACTTTAAATTATACTTTCTAAAAAATAAATAAAATAAATTTTCAATATAAAATCTTAACAACCGGTTATAAAAAGGGATTTTAAAATTATGCAGTATCTAAAAAAAAAGAAATCTTTTGGATACATATTATATGAGTTCTCAATGAACAATTTGATGCTTCTCAAAAACAGGCCATAAAAATATATTACTATAATTACTAATCGAAATCCGAAATTTACTAAGTTCTTTGGATAAACTTAATAAAATTATTCACTGTGTTTTATGAAATCCATAACAAATAAAAAAAAAAACAATTCAATACTTCTCTAAATAAAAGCTCGAAAACCATCTATGAAAGCCATCTATGGCAGGTAATATGCAAATTTTTGCTGTGTGTGAACCATCTACCTTTGCTGTCCACCGCCCAAACTGACGCAATGGGCTGCGGTGATGGCCCACTTGTTGGTGACCAGGGCTCCTCCGCAGACATGTTCGCCATTCCGCCGCAGGGAGATGGTGTGGGGCTGGGAGCCCACATCGGCCGGCACCCGGCTGGACTGGCCCACGCCCAAGGTCGCGATGACCAGGAGCAGAGGGAGGACTGACTGAACCGGACTCATGCTTTTTGGGATCTCAACTGAAAGGCGCTCCTGCCGACGGGCGGGCCTTTATAGAGGCCCCCCCGTTTACGACCATGGGTTAAGCAATCTAATCGCCCCGTGTGTTGTTCCACCCATAAATCTCCCTCTTATCTTTACACACACGACCAGCAATCGATTAGATCGCCAAGTGGTGACCATCGATCGCTCGGCTGAGGGCCCATTCAGTTGCCAATCCACCGCCATGGCTGATCCACGCACTACCCTGGTCCTGGGCCTGCTGATCTTCGGTCTGCTCCTCCCCGCGGAGGCCTCGCCCCAAGGTCGCATTCTGGGCGGCGAGGACGCTGCCCAGGGCGAGTACCCCTGGTCCGCCTCCGTCCGCTACAACAAGGCCCACGTCTGCTCCGGCTGCATCATCTCGCAGACCTTCGTCCTGACCGCCGCCCATTGCGTCTCCAATGTGGGCATCACTCCGTAAGTCATGTCTGCTCTTATTGCAAATATCTTTGGCTTTCCTAAATTTTAGGATTACAAATTACCCACAAAAAATCTCTTAATACCTGTAGTTTTTAATAAAGTAATTATTTTTTTTAAGAGTTTGTCTGACTTGTAGTCATTAGGTGTCTGATTTTTATACTTCACTATGTGGACTCTTAAGCTATCTGACAATAGTGGCTGATCTTAAATGTCAAAATCCCAAATTGAAAAACAAAATGTGTAATGGGGCCTTAATAAATAGTTGTGAAAATAGTTATTCTAAATTTCAGTAGCTCAACAGTTTTCTGATCTTGATTCAATACAAATATTTAAAAAGCTCTAAACTGTGGTTATATTTCGAAATATATTTATTTAAGAAAATAATTTTCATGAAAAGTGTATTTCTTTTAGACAAAGAAGCACCATATTATTTTTTAATTAATTTAATTTAATTTAATTAATTTAATTTAATGGTCTTAAAGTTTTGTAGCTCAATAGTTTTCTGTTTTTTAATCATTATAAATATTTTTAAGGCTCTGGATTGCTGTTTTATCAGAATTTTTATGTTAAGTAAAGAATTCCCCTAAATGATTTAAGGCCCTCACATGACAAAGGTCTAAAAGTTTGAACAATTTTCTTGAACTATATTAAAATGTTTGAAAAGAATTCATACTATATTAAAAATTTAATTCTAAAGAGATTCTTGTAAAATTGGACAAGTAAAGTAAGTAAGTAAAATAAAATGTTTAAAATAGGGCAAACAATTTAAGAATTCGTATTAGATTTAGGATTGCACACCCAAAGATATGTTTGTTAAAATAGGGCAAAGAACTTTCCCAAAGAACTTTCTTTAAGTAAAATCAAAATATTTTAAAATGATCTAGTTCTTTTTACATTTCAAATTAAATTAAAAAAGATGTTTGGTAAAATAAGTAATAACAACTTTATGGCATTTAATTCGACCCATACTCCTTCTATTAAAAATACTTCAATTAATGCCTAATTTTTGTGCTAACTTTCCAGCGTGGAAGCCAGTGATCTGGCCGTCCGAGTGGGCACCATTAACCAGTATGCCGGCGGCAGCATAGTGGGTGTGAAGAGCGTTCTCATCCAGCCCTCGTACGGCAACTTCCTGCACGACCTGGCCCTGCTGGAGCTGGAGCAGCCGCTGACCTTCGGCGATCGCATCGCTGCCGTGGCACTGCCCACCGCCCAGGTGGAGGAGACAGAGGACCAGGATGCGGAGCTGCCGGACGGAACGCCCGTCTATGTGGCCGGATGGGGTGAGCTGTCCGATGGAACCGCATCGTACAAGCTGCAGAAGGCCAACTTCAACACGCTGGGCAGGGCACAGTGCGAGTGGCAGGCCGGTTACGGCTATGCGTCCACCGTGTGCCTCTCCAGGGCCGAAAAGGAGGGCATCTGCCGCGGCGATGCCGGCGCACCCGTGATCGATGACAAGCAGGTGCTCCGCGCAGTGACCAGCTTCAATTTCGGACCCTGCGGCAGCAAGTATCCCGATGTGGCCACCCGCGTCTCCTACTACCTTTCCTGGATCGAGGCCAACACCAAATAGTGCATCTGCATCTGCATCTGCATCTGCTTCACCGAAGGATTACCCCTTTATTTTTTTTCAACAATTTTTTTTACTGTGCATAAAGTGTGTTCCCCCCAAAATCAACAAATTGTTTTCTTCATGTTTATGGGGCAAACTGTAGACCATAAGGAAATTAGTGCAGGCCATAAAGCTGCAATCGATAGAGCAACCTCGAATTGGCGCCGATCAAAGGTTTCCAAGTTACCAAGGAATTCGAATTTATGGCATGTATTCAGGGATTATCTAACAGTGTTTACAAGAAAGTGGTTAAGAAGACATTGGATTATTTTTTATAAGCCCATATATTTTAGCAAAGCAATATAATCGCAAAACTATGATAGAGATCTCAAGAAAACCCCATAATCGCTCTACGAAACAAGGGTAAGCATTTGGGCAATAAGCCAGAAGTGATTATTGATCGATCGTTGATGACTAAGCGAAATCTTTATAATCCCGACTTGTTATCTAGGGTTATTCCCGCTAAACATGGCAATTGTGCTGATTATTTTGGTGATTTTAATGTACTTCTAGTAGCTTTAGTTGAAGCTAAGAAAAATGTCAAATGTTAGTTATTTCCTTTAATATTATTTTTCTCTTACATTTAATTTTGGTAATATTTATCTTCGATTACATTCAAATAAACCTTAGATACCGATCTCGGGAATTCCTCCTAAACATGGATGATGTGCTGATTATTTAGTGGGTTTAATAGCTAATTTCAAAGTTAAAAATAATTGTTATTTTATTTTTTATAATATTCTTGGCAATCATTTTCTAGGCTTACATCAAACTATGGTTTATCTGATTTTTTGAGAAGTATGTATTCAAAGGTTGTTTATTGCTTAATTTACTAGGTTTTTTACAAACCAAAACTTTATTTGCCTCCAAAATGATGAAATTCTCCAAGAATTCGCCAGATTTTGATTGTGCATTCATTAGTCATTAGCTTTTGGCTTACTCATCTTTATCGACCCTAGATGGTGTTGTCTTGTCATGGTCGCCGGATCGCTTGGACCTCCCTCCACCTGCTTGTGCAGTTTTCTATTTACGTGCCAATTGATCGGCCAAATAACAAGTAACACTAGTCCATAGTGGTATAAAGCTCGCAATGACGGCGATAAGATTAGATTTACTGTGATGCCCAAGCCGAAGATAAGGATTGGTCAGGAGGTGGAGGAGGAGGGGGGTAGTAGGGGTGGTTCAGGTGGCTCGGCGAAGTCGTCCACTTAAATTGTCGTCGCTGGCATTGCGCATTTCCATTCCAACAGCCGTGGGCAGCTGAACCACCCCAAAATTAAACGAGGAGAGACCAAAGCCACATGATGCAGCAGAAGTTACTGATCTTGGGCCTGATCGGATTGACCCTGGTGGGCGTCTGCCACGCCCGCGGACGGATCATGGGCGGCGCGGAGGCGGACCCCAATGCCACGCCCTACGCCGCCTCCTTGCGCGTGGACAACGGCCACGTGTGCGGCGCATGCATTCTGTCCGAGACCAAAATCCTGACCACCGCCCACTGCGTGCACCGCGATGGAAAGCTGTGAGTGTGACCCAAAAGCTAATGCATTTATAAATTTAAATAAGACAGACGAGATAGTGTGATCCAAAAGCTAATGCATTTATAGATTTAAATAAGACAGACGAGATAGGTGAACAATTATGCCAAATTATGAATAGGAACCACTGTACGTATGCGTGATATCCTAACATTGTCGGGGTTTATTACAATTTGTATGGTTGTTGGTATCTCACTTTCTTGCAACTATTTAACAATCACTTGTAAAACCACCAGTTACTAATTTTTTGTATCAAAAGGTCTGTCGATTTACAATTATTGATTTATTATCTTATGTCTCTGTTTACAATCTCTTTATATCTAAAAAAAGTTTTTAGCGCTTGTTAAATATAAACTAATAATTAATTTTTTTGTCCTTTCCTAAGTAAATAGTAGTTAAAAGTGCTTTGAAACTAAATACTAATTTATGAATGGTATTGCCTAGATGGGAGTGTACAGCTAGGCGTATGAGTGATATTATTTGACAGAATGCCTTCCTATTATAAAACGTTGTATTGAACAAAAACAAACTTGAAAACTGAACTTATAATTAAACCCAAATAAAATTGATTTCAATTTTGATACTTTCGTGGTATTAATTAAATACCTGACCTTTTAGGAAATGTTTAGAATTCATGTAACAATAGCTATATTTGTGTAACTATTTTTTTGTGTGTGTCATGGACTCAATAGTTATTATTATGATAGCAGTTCAAAATTTAATTTAAGGAATGTAGTACATAATTCCTTGACTTTTAGATATTTTTTCTATTTATTTTCTTCTTGTTTAATTTATAACTTATAAAGAAAAAGTCCTCAGCGTTTACCTCAATGATTGATCGAAACCTTTAACCCTAAACCCTTACACTCTGAAAACAGAATCGATGCCAGTCGTCTGTCGTGTCGCGCGGGCAGCACCAACCAGTATGCTGGTGGACGCATTGCCTATGTGGAATCGGTGGCTGTCCATCCGGACTACTATAAGCTGCGGAACAACGTGGCCGTGCTCACCCTGAGCTCACCGCTGGCCTTCACCGATCGGATCAAGGCCATCGAGGTGGCCGCCAGCGGGGCGGAGCTGCCCGCCGAGGGATCCGAGGTCACCGTGGCGGGATGGGGTCGCACCACCGAGGGCACTGCGTCCTACAAGATCCGCGAGATGTCACTGAAGGTGGCTTCGGAGGCCGCCTGTCTGGATGCCTACAGCGATCACAGCGAGGACAGCTTTTGCCTAAGCCACGAACTCAAGCAGGGCACCTGCCACGGCGACGGTGGCAGTGGCGTCGTCCACGGGGACAAGCTGATCGGACTGACCAACTTTGTGGTGGGCGCCTGCGGATCCCGCTACCCGAATGTCTTTGTGCGACTCTCCAGCTTCCACGACTGGATCCAGGAGCAAATTGCCTAGACATACCTATGTACATACTCCCCATTGGCCATCCCACCTACAATTATAATTATTTCCTAATTTCCCAAACGAACTGTGGGCTGTGTTTTTCATGGCGGTGACTCAATCGTCTGCCCGATTGCGATAAGGATAAGGATCGGCGATTGCCACTGGACAGTGGACACTGGTTAACGTAATAATCGCTCGCTAAATACCGTCGGCGTACGTGTGAAATGCTCACTTATTTATGACCTTAATGGCACCGGTTTTATGGCCCATAACTCGAGATATCGATGGGCAATGGGTTCTTGGATCAAATTCGCCAAGGTGCTCAAGATATCAGTCTCTTGGGAATTTCAAAAAATTATGTAAGGCGTCAGAACAATTTAATTGGTAATACAACAATCCGATTCAATGATTCGAATTTGATTTAGCCTTCTTTTAATTTAGTAAACAGACTTTATAATCAACTTTTTTTGGCTTACAAATATTTATTACTTTCTGGTAATTAAACTCTAAACTAACGGAACGAAATGTAAATGATAACGACTATTTTGTATTTTATTTTTATTTTTCTGCAATTTAATTACCTTAGTTCGGCACTTTTAGCCAAGAGAACGTTACACAAGCCCAAGGGAGTGGTTTCATTTAGTTTTACATCGCCTAACTGCCCTAGTAATTATAAGGGCATAGTTTGCGTAGAATACAAATTAGCTATAGGCTAGATAGGTACATTGTCTTTGACATTTTAGGGTACTAATGATGGATTAGCCGCTTAATTTCGAGGCATATATACAGGCAGAGAAGTATGACTTTTAAAGAACTCTGTCATGTCATATTTCTGGACTGTTTTGCTGTTTTTTTGTGCTTCAGGCATCCGGGGAGAGGTTCAGAATGAGTCCGAGGTAGAACCCCGGATTGTGGGCGGAACCAAGGCGAAAGAGGGTCAATTCCCCCACATGATCTCTCTGCGTCTCCGTGGAGATCATTATTGTGGTGGAGTCATAGTCTCTTATTAATGTTAATGCGGATTTTTCTTTTTTTTTTTACATTGTAACTTTCTATCTGACCTCAAAGTTTGGTCTTTCATATCAATTAAAATAATTGTCTACAAAAATTAAAAATTAAAAAAAAATTAGTAAGTGCGAATTTTTCTAAAAAATTTTTCGATGATCAGAATCCACTGTCAGTCAATTATATTTATTTCCTGGTTGATTGTAAATTCCAGCTAAATTGGGCTGGAACATGGGAATATATATTTTTTTTTGCGAAAGTGGTACGAAAATTAAAATCGTGTGTTTTTAAGTACCAACCCAATAGAAAATCTATTGAAGAGCTCAACGAATTAAAGGTTTAGCATTCCAAATTTAAACTATGTATTTCCATGATTTATTAATGTGTTATTAGGATGTTATTAGGTGTTATTAGGAACAATTTATCACTGTGGAAATTATATGTACTTGAAGTTGAAAATAAGAAAAATGGTTAGTGACCAAATTGGGTTTAAGCTCGATAGCGCCATTGACTTTGACATTAAAAAGGAACTAATGATAATGAGCCTCTTATGTTTGGTGCATACATAAAAGCCATAACTTTTTAACTTTTTCAACAGACCGAATTGTGGGCTATGAAAAGATCTCCAAGCTTAAGACCTGGACCCTATGGAAAACTCCACTAAATTTGGTCCTCAATCTAATTTAAAGCTGTACATATTATAGGCATTTTAAAAAATAAAATTAAAGTATAATATATAAAAAATACAAATGGTAGCACTTTCAAATAAAAAATTAAAACTGGTTAAAAATTAAGAGCTGTGGAAAAATATTTTTTATTAACAAATTTTGGAAAACCATCATTATAATATGGTTTATTGCAAATTTTAGCCAAATTTGGCGGTTGTATCATGGGGCTACATCAATTAACTTGCGAAAATGGTCTCAAAATCAAATTAATATACCAATGTTAAGTACCACTTGATACAGAATGTTTTGAAGATAAAATATAGCATACCAAAATTGAACCATGCTTTTCCAACTTTTATTTATATTTTTCAAGGACTTTTGCTAACAAATGTATCACAGTGAATACTATTTTGACTTGAGAGAATTAATAGCACTGTAGTCGCAACTTTATGGTCGGAAATGGAAATATTATGTCAATACTGTGTAATGAACTATTGACATAAATAAACATATTATTTGCATTGTTATACAATTAAGTTTTAACCTTTAAGTAAGGCATATATGTTATTCCCGGAATCTTATCAATAAAGATAAGCACTTCCGAGCCCTTCCCATTGAAGGTTATACAACCCCTTTAAGAATGTTTTTTGTTTGATTTTTCTACATCTGAATCCCATCGTAATTAGGAGGGCTTCATTTGCAAAAAAAAAAGAAAGAAAACAAAAACTAACCAAATTAGGTTAAAGCTCGATAGCGCCATTGACTTTGACACTTCGACGAACTAATGATGATGAGCCCCTTAAGTTTGGGTCATATATAAAAAAGCCAGGTAAACCTTATAGCAAGTATAACTGTTTACGAAGCTTGCCCATCCAGTTATGATACCTTTTTGGTCTTTTTTGCTGGTGCTTTGTGCATCCGGAATCGTGGGTCAGGTTCATGCTGTGGAACCCCGGATTGTGGGCGGAACCCAAGCGAAGGAGGGCCAATTCCCCCATCAGATTTCCCTTCGTCGCCGTGGAAGTCACATTTGCGGTGGATCCATTTTGTCCAGCAACTATGTCGTCACCGCCGCCCACTGCGTGAAGCAAGGAAAAAATGAGTGGGTATTGGAATCTGAAGAATTCGCGTATTACTGGTAGCCCTAACCCTTGACCGGCCTTTAGAGTTCCCGCCAGCCAACTGACGGTCCACGCGGGCAGCCTGCTGCTCTCAAGCGGCGGTGAAAGGATTCCGGTGGCCAACGTTACCGTGAATCCCAATTACAGGGGCAATGGCTATGATGTGGCCGTGCTGCGCCTGCATAGGTCCCTGACTCTAGGCTCCAACATCGCCGCCATCGAACTGGCCACCGACGATCCGCCCAGCGATGCCACCGTGGACATATCCGGATGGGGCTCCATCTCGCAGATGGGACCGCTCTCCAACTCCCTGCTGTTCGTGCAGGTGAAGGCCCTGGCCCGGCAGACCTGCCAGCAGAAGTACCTCCACCAGCTGCCGGAGACCACGATGTGCCTGCTCCATCCCAAGGACAAGGGGGCCTGCTATGGCGACTCCGGCGGACCAGCCACCTACGAGGGCAAGCTGGTGGGCGTGGCCAGTTTCGTGATCGGCCGCTGCGGACGTGATGCTCCCGATGGCTACGAAAGGATCTCCAAACTGAGGACTTGGATCAGGGAGAAGGCGAGTTTGTAAATCTCGAAAGTATGAAAATCCCCGGATGGCAAAACATTGCAAAATTGGGTTCTTAATTTGGCTTAGTTTAATTAAAAATCAAACCATTTTATTTGGGCATATTATTGGTGTTAAATGTTTATTTAAATTAATTCAAGCACTTCAAAAAATATTATCACCCAATTCTGCAATGGATTCCGCTTCAAAATTATCTATTCTGTATATATCTTATCTATATTGTCTACGTTTCAAATATGTACTATATTATACCAATAAAACATTTAAAAAAAAACAGCACAGCAAAACTAGTTAAACCGCATATTAAATGTTAATGGTTTTCATTAAAAAGGTTCCAAATATCAGGCTCATGAAATAAAAAACAAAAACAAATCAGAGAAAAACAAGTTCATCAATGCTTCTTAATTGTTATAATTTTATATGAAAGTGTCCTTAAATTGTTGTTCACTTTAAAAAAAACACAATTACCTTACAAAATATTATAATATGCATGTTAATATTATTTTATTGTGCTAGTTTTGAAGTGATAAACTTATAATAGCAGGTTGAATTAAAATTAAAAATGTTTATTACTTAAAATTCGGACTTAAGAATGCTGAAGTTGGCTTTATTTTCCACTTGAAATCAATGGTTTTTTTGTAAAGAAAATTAAACAATTAAAAACGAAAGTGTTATTAGATTTTGACATGTTTTCGACATTTTTTGGTCTTCAGGGCCAATGGTTTCGACACTTCGGATTCAAAAATTAAGAATGAGATTTATTCGTTATTATATGGGATGTATTTGACATCATTATATTATTCAGCCATTGTTCCCTTTGAGGAAGTGGACCATCCTCCCTTTTTTTGGGTCATCTCTACATGACTCATTTGCGAGCCAGCGGATTGTGACCGCTTTTTAGAACCCGCTTGGTGCCGTCTCTTTCTGGCTGTTTAGTGGTTTATCAGAGCGCAACTTTTCCCCACTTTTTCCCCGCCAGCCAGTGAAAGTGAAAATGAAAATGAACAGCAACGCCAAACAGCTCGCTTCACTCTTTCTATTATTGCTCGGTAATTTTCCGCTTTTTTTTCGGTTTTCAGTTTTCAGTTTTTTCTCCAGCACTCCGCGTTTAATGACTTTGTTTTGCTTTTCATTTAACTGGTCTCGCACTTTTTATTTATTTTTCAGCTTCGAGAGTTTCAATTTTCCAGTGTTTTTGTGTCTGTGCGCTCTCTTTTGGGCACAATTATCGGATTTCGGATCGCTGGGGATCGTGGCGTGCCTCGGTGGATTTTACTAGCCCCTGCCACTCGAAAACCGGCACGTTTCTTCAGTTTGTCCACCCGGCCGTCAATGCCTCAATCTGTCAGTTTGCCAGTTTGTCATTTTGAATGCCGCTCGAAATGCAATTCACGGCACAAGTCATCGAACCTTTTAAAGCCTTTGGTCGGCAATTGAAGAACTCGCTGATCCACGATCTCAATTCATGGTCTTGGCCTTTGAATATCGAAATATTCAAGACCCTGCTGTCTCGAATTTAATGAAACACAATGTTAAATGATAGATTGCATTGACATTCAGAAATGCATATAAATTTGGCAGACCAAAACCCCCGAAGCATCAGAAACTGCCAGAATTAATCGTTGCAAGTCTCGAAAATAAGTAATAAGTAATTTTTAGAAACATTTGGCCTTACAAAAGTGAGAAATAATTTTATCTTATATATCTATATATAGAAATCTTATAGAAAAGTATCTTTTCGAAAAAAAGTCAATTATCATTTCATTAAACTTTCAAATCGACACTTCACTTTCAATCATACTTCTAGAAATACCTATTTTCACCATTTACAGTGGCTTGCAGCAGTTTTATTAAACCAATAACTGGTTTACAAATTGGCAATCCCATAAGTTAACCGTTTACCAACTTATAATTATTTCAACGGCTTCGCACCTACTGCATGGCGAGAAAAAATTAATAATATGTGTTTTTAATAACAAGTCTTAGTTATAAGTGATTCTCGAATTTCGATTTTCTTTTTTTTATAAATAATTTATCAACATGTTTACTTATCTATTATTATTATATTATTTATTATATTTCCAAAACATTTTCAAAACACCTAGCCTGGATTATTCCATATTATTACATTCAATTTTATATTTTATTTTATTTTAAATGCAAAACAAATATATTATTATAACGATAGGAATACGAAAAAGATCTATTTTCTTATACTATTAATTACGAGATTTTTTAAATAAAAGGTTTTTTTTAAGCTGCTAATTTAAAAAGTTCATTTATTAAAAAAGAAAGTAAAAATCGGGCCCCTTGACCTCTAAATCCTTAACTATAAGGAAAAGGAATAAATGTTTGTCAGTGTGGCTTAAACCTGATAAGAAATCGCAGCGTTTATCATCTTCGCCAGACTCGAGTGGCTCAATTTCACCCGGTCCACGGCTGTGCCAGTTCCAAGAAGCCATCCACATTACCAATTACCAACTTCGCCAGCTCCAGCGCCACTCCGACTGAGACTCAAAAGTCGAGACATGTCGCGACAAACAAATTTCTTCTTATTTTGGGCTTCAATTTTAATTAGCATGGAAAGTCAGCGGGCGAGCGAGTGTAAGTGGCTTTTAATGGTCAGAGCAATGCCAAAGCCGATCGGCGGGTTAATGGTAACGGGTTTGCCCGAATCCGGGCCCGGAGAAAGACTGGCGTCTCTTTGGAGACCAAACACTCAAGACTGAAGACTCAAGACTGCAGATTGAAGACTGGCGATTGAAGAGCGGGGTGCGGAGCACTGAAGCAGGCCAGTTAACCCACTAACCTTGTTAGCTGAAAGTGGACAGCCACTGGCTCAAGGCGCTCTGCCACTGTCAAGTTCAATGCTAAGTCTCCCAAGAGGGGGGGGCACACCCATGGCCAAATTATTAGTAACCAACTTGTAATTGTTATCGAAAGAGAAAACTTAGAACAAAAGTGAATTTGGATTTTAGATAGAAATGATTTATATTTCAAATTGATTAGGTCTGAAGAACACTGTATTTAATAATATTTTGAATACTGATTCGGATGTTACAGTCATTTTATCTTAAGTTATAGCGCAACGGGTAACAGTTTATTGGAAACTGTATTTAAAAGTTTAACCAATGTTTGAAAATAAAAAAAAATGAATATTCACAAAAAAAATAATTTAATTACATATAAAAGAACCCAAAGTTCATAACTTTACCAATAAATTACAACAATTTTTGAATCTAAATAATACTATTTATTTCATTGGATAAGAAAACTATTAAGGAATGAAATTTGATAATACTAATAATAACAGAGACATATTTGTATGTATTTTATGTTATTTTGATGTATTATTTCTGCTTCAAAAAAATATTAAAACATTGTTTTATTTGTTTGCCAATAAAATAGAACTATGTGGCTTTAATAATTCGTAAGTCAATTTAAATCGTAATTGGATAAATGTTTTAAAAATAAAATAATCTATATTTAAAGACAAGTCGGCTTAATGTTCTCAGTTACTGAGATAAATAATTCAATTTGGGAATAATAAACCCTGGAAGTCCTTGCCAAAATTGCATTGCTTCCTTGCTTGCCAACTAAGGTATAAGCATGCCCCCTGCTGTCTAAAAAAGGAGGCGGAGGACAGAGGGCGTGGCTGGGGGACGGGGGAGATGGGAGATGGGAGGTGGCGCTGGAGGTCAGGCGGTGGCCTTCGAAGGAGGCGACATGCGCACTGGGTTAGTGAGCCAACGGTTTTGGGGGTGTGGGGTGTTTATATAACAACAAAGCGAATGCAGGCCCGCCGACTTTCGCCTGCCGTGACCTTCACCTTGGCAGTGGCAGCAAGGTTGCTCCTGCACCACCCATATATCTGCCCATCCAACCACCCATTCAACCACCCATGGCCACAGGGGCCTGGCCTTGATCTTAAACTTTCCCAGTTCCCACGAATAACAGCCAGTATTCACCTGATTTCTGCCGATTTCCTGTTTTCTGCTCGCCAGCAATTTCTATTATTCTTGCAGCTGCCGTTGTTCTTCGCACCTTCTTCTGCAATGGGAAATTTGCATAAAATATTCAATCAACTTTCATTGTTCCAGGCGGCTGCCTTTGCCGGGCTTCAATTTCGCACACACAAAAAAAGGCAAACAAACAGAAAGCAAAACAAATTCTTTTTATTTTTTTTTTTTCGTGGCTAGTTTCTCTTTACGCCTACGCGGTTGCCCAAATTAGCACTAAAACAAACGATTGGAGGGGGCCCAAAAAAAAAAAAACAAATAACTCGCGCGTCGTTGACAAATCAAAGGAAGTAGATGCGCGTTCAATGGATTCGTTTGAGGCTTACACTTTCCCAGGTCAAAAGCCAGAAACCAAGAAACCAGAATGAAATCGGAGAGAGAGCAAGTTTTCAAAACGCGTCCGATTGCCAGCGATGTTAGAGTTCGACTAAGTTTGTGGCGCGTTGTGCGTGTGTTCGATGGAGGCCAGAAAAATCAAGCTGCCCATTGGTAAGACCTCCATTCAGCCTGAAAGGTTGTTTGTTAAGCAGTTTCTCAGAAAACAAAAAAATTCATTTATTTTTGCATTTAAAAATAGTTTTTCTTAATTTTTTCGTCCTTTGTTTTGGGTTTTGAAAAGCATTTATATCTGAAAAACCTTTTCAACTGCTTGCTTTCAAGGCAGCATTCTTTTGTCAGCCAACCGAATTTGAGTGCCCGCTAAAGTTTCACAGCGAGCAGCTTTTGAAAGGGAACAAATCATTTCCCATTTTTGTCCAACATTTTATTTGGTATTTCTAAAATTTCATAATAACTATCCGATTAAATCTCTATAAAACGGTTCAAAATCATATTATTTCGAAGATTATGTCCATTTCCTTATTGTTGTTTGTCCTAATAAAGCGTATAATCAATTATGATATTTTCTTATTATGCTTTTATAATTTTTTTTTTGCAACGTTAGAAAAAATATTTAAAACTACGGATATTTGCAATTCCTTATAACAAATGTTCTCTAAAATACTCCAAACGTGTTTTTGCAATTTTGCTAAATTGCTAACCAAAAAAATGTTTATGAAATATGTTAATATTGTAATTAAAAATTTATATTTTAGTTAAAACCTGTATTGTAAACATTTTATAGTAATATAGATTATATATTAAAACAATTTTGAAATATGTGTGGCTAAAATATATATACTAGGAAACTAGTAATGTTGAATGCCAAATAATTAAGAACTTTAAAAGTAAATACCCCATTTAAATATTGTGGGCAGAATAAAAGCTAAAAGTTTATTTTGTGAAAATAAATTGGTTATCGATAAGCACTCACATCTGCGTTATATTTAAAAATCCCAGAAAATAATTTCGATATACTCATTCTTTCGCTGCATTCAAATATGGTACGCTGTATCTTTTCCGCGGTCACACTCGTTTTTCAGTTCGCAAAGGGAAATAAACACGCGCGCTCCGTTGTTTACGATTGAAAGATATAAAGGAATATATATATACCGCCGGGGAATAAATATTTCGGTTCTTGTAAAAAATATTCATGTTGAGATTTGAGGTATTTTACGCCTGAAAAATTTTTTTCTGGAATTTTTTGAAGTTTTGCTTAAAAAAAAGGAAAAACAACGGAAATAGTTAATAACAAAGTGCGTGAGCTTTTTTTATTATTAATATTTTTTGTGCGTGTATGAGTGTTTAGTCTTTTCGCGTGTGTGTGTGTGTATGTTGTGAATCCCAATTGCAATTGTGGTTGTGTAGGTCAAGGTGAAGCAGCTGCACTACCGTTAGTTCTCCACCCATTGAGTATGCAGTTTTCAATTGCGAATGCATGCAAATATATGCAGAAACCCTAAAAAGTCAATATTGCAGTTCGTCCCGTCTCTTTCGCACTCCCTCCCTCCCACTAGCACCTTCCCGCGTGAGATAAGCACTAGATAACCGTGTGTGCGTAATTTACAGTTAAACTTAACCCTTAGGCAAGAAAATATTCAAATATTAACTCTTCAATAACAAATATTTCTTTAAAATGTACATGATGAAAGGTTTAAATTCCGGAAAGCTTTAATTGCTTAAAAATTTAATATTAAAATAAGGAAGGAATTATTAGTCAAAAATAACTGTTAAATTTAACTCCTGGCAAAATCACTTAAATAGATTCTTAAACTTTATAAATAGTTAAAGTACTTGTATAAATATATTTTAAAACAATTTTTATCGTATTACAAAACACTATAAAACTTAACCCTCAGGTAGTGTTTTAAATATAATCAACATTTATTATAATGCAGCAAGCGCAAGTAGCAACTGCATACGCAGCAAACTGCAATAAATAAACTACTTAAAAAAAAAATTGAATTTTAGTCCTAATATCTTGTTAGTTTTTATAAAAACTATTTTGTGCAAATGCTGTAGTAATTTGCAAGGTTGCAACCTTTGCTAAATGTGAATTTAATTAAACCCCCCAGGCGCAGTGTGAATAAACAGTGAAATATTAATGTGGCAACAGTAGCAGCTGGCTTCTGGCGACCTGCGACAGCAGCAACTTGCAACTTACAACCTGCAACTTGCAACATAAGCGGCAAAACGGCGTTTCTACCGCAGCGTCGCCTTTTTGGCGGCGGCAATGTGCCACCGGCGGCGACCATGAAGCACCAGCCAACGCCACCGCCCCTCCCCCTCAGCCAGCCGCCGGCGATGGGCGGTCCAGCCGCTGGGGGCGTGGCCAGTGCCATCAGCAACATCAACGGCAGCAGCAACAACATCACCAACAACAACAACGTCATCGAGGCGGTTAAATGCCGTCCACCCATTTACCCCAAACGTGAGTAAATCCTTTCTCGAGGGTGCGAAAATACAAAACAACAATTTTTTATGGGTTTAAAGGGTTGATCGAACTGTTTACAAAGGGCTCAAAATATTTGCAGCCTTTCAATACCTTAATAAATACTCATTTTGAGGTACTTCAATTTTCTAATCTACATACAAACTTGTATGCTCTTATTATTCATTATTTTGTTCCTATCAATCCGCAGCCTTAAAAAGTCCGTTTTGATTAATATTAAAAATTTTAAAATGTTTTAACTGTGGTGGAGAAACATAAACAAATGCATTGGCTTTAGCGTAACCTAAATATGTTTGTTTTTTATTGGTGTTACCATTTTTTTATTTTTTATTTATTTTTTAAAATTCTTTCCATTTTAACAAAATTGTTAATGTGTAACGCTTGTTTGGTTTTCTTAGCCAATTTTCAAGTCAAATTAAAAACTAAAACTAAAAATTAAAATTAAAAGTTAAAAAAAAATGTCAGCATTTTTTTGAGTGTATATTTTAATTGATCACTTAAGCTTACGCTTTAGCGTTAACTTCAGTGTTTCATTATTAAATAACCCAAAGCATAGGTTATCGGAAATGTTAATACCAAGAATGACTTTTCAAGTTATTTAAATAGAAGGTTGTCCAGAAACTCTTTTGTTATCAATTATTGCTAGATAAAACAAATACAAGTAGTTATCTCTAGCTTTTAAACTTTACATAATAACAAAAAAAAATAATAGTAAATAAAATAATTGAAATATATACAAAAATATAATACTAAACTTTAAATAAATATGCATTTATAGATATATAATATATTATACAAAAATATAATACTAAACTTTAAATAAATATACATATATATACATGAATATAGATATACATATATATTATATATATTATATATTATATTTTATATTGTTAAGAAGAGGATTTTTCAAAATTGCACATTGGTATACGAATGTTAAAAAACTACAAGGTAGTGTCACTTCAGGGAGTATAAAGTATAGGATGATGTTACCATAGAGTTGAAAATCTGATTTACGTCGTGCCAACTTCGATGATTTCAATTCGAGTGTAGGTTCTCCGCGGGCCAATTGCCCTCGGTTGGATCGATCTTATCTGGGATCTGGGATCTCGATTGGCTTCCCCATTACGTGGCGCACTCCACTGCTTTTCCGCCGACAAGAAAATTGGCTGGCCAACTATTTTCCGATATTCCAATGGCTTGGAAAGTCGACGGCGGCTTCCTTTCCTTTTTTGCCCGCTTTGTTTTGTTTTGGCTTCGCTTTCGCCGTGGCTTTTTTTTTTTTGTATTTTCTTGGCTCTTGCTTTTGGACTGGGAGTTGCGACTGCCGTTTTTGGTAGGCGTAGACTTTGTATATTTTTTTTTTTGCCCCCCTTCTCTATGTTTTCTTTTTTTTTCTTCTTATTTTTGGTTTTGTGTAGTTTGCAGTTGGCCGCACCCAATCCCAATTGCAGATCGGTCTAGGCCTTGATGTCTTTTGGTCTTGGCCATTTGGCATTGGCCTTAACTTGGTGGCAACGTGACCGCAGCTAACGGTACTCCTGGTTGACATGTCGTTAGTGTCCGATGAGCATTTGTGTCTCCGATATCGGGGTACGCCTCAACCAAGCGGCCCACATCATTCTATACTCTTGCGATGGGTTCCAGTCCCGCAGCTACACTTATAAAAATGTTCTCCTAAATATTGAAAAATTTGTTTATTTTTGGGCAATGGACTTTGTTTTGCTTAAAAAATTCATATTAAAAAAACTCAAGCAGATGACCCCTAAAAATCAATTGGTACAGTAGTCGTTGTGTTTAAATAACTATTGCAGCAATACATGAAAAAACATTTAATTAAACTCAACGAACTCGCATCAAATATTGAATAACTAAAAAAAAATTTTAAAAAATGAATTCTAAATTATGAAATTATAATGTAATGAAAATATTTTAATAAATACAATTACTTGTTTCGCTTCATAAAATTATAGATTATCTTTGCAAAAATATAATTATAATGTATTAGTGCAATACAATTGATGCAAAAAAAAAAAAAAACAAAAATTGTTGTGTGGTATAGTCATTGGCAAGCCCATGTTTACACTCAGAGACCTAGAATCAAACGTGATAAGATAAACAATACTTAGCGAGAGCAATTGGCGGTTCTATATATTGTACTGAGCTCACCTAAAGTGCTGTTTTTATATTGTTATTTGGTTTTACAATGTTTGCTGGTGAATTATAAAAAAAGCTAACTTTATTGAAGAATATCAAATCAAAATATTTTATTAACATAGCAAGTAAGTCTTTATTAATAGTAAGGTAAATTCTGTATTTGTTAAATGCTCTCTCATTATATAAAATTTGTTTATTGCTACCACTTCTGTATGGTAAATCGAAAAATAATTAATAACGTATTAAAATCGAATTAAAAATTGTGAATTTTATAATTACAACTAACATTGGTTTCTGGGAGTTCACTGTATTTCCAGCAACACTGCCCATATGGAGTTCAATTAGTTGATGCATCGGGAAAAAATCACGCTCATCGATTGTCTAAGTTTAGTCATCCATTTCCATTGTGCCTTTTCCTTTGCATTCAATCCCA